TGGAGATCTTATCAAATCTTCTGAGAGCAGCAATCTCTACTATGTTCGGGCCCTTGCAGTCCCTGGAGTATTTCGACGCAGGTGTCGTCTATATTTCGGCTTTTTTTAATGTTGGTACGTTTGATAAAGTGCTGTTTTGTTTACCAAAAGAACTTTTCCTAGTTAGGCTTTCGCATTAACTCATATCTTAGAAGGCTCTCAAATATCCAGTGAAGTATGCCTCGTGTACCTCAAAGTTACGCTATTTTGCCTGTGTGCGAGAGGCAACACTTACATTTCCTTATGAAAGGAATCCAAGAGTGACACTCCACAAAGACTGGCAATACGTCATTGGTCCCGTATGGAGCATTCACAGGTGAAACCAAGTAGCAGAGAAACACTCATTCCCAAACAGTTTCAACAAAAACCCCTACAAAGCGTAGTCCCTTCTCCCCTTATTCACACCCTTCACTTCACCCCCTTTTAACTTCCCGTCCTTCCGCGACCCTTTCGATGGTGAAAATGCCAAGGAAACCAAACACACTAAAATAATTTTCCATTGAGAGTGGACACAATAATTACAGTGCAGTAATTTGTGGTGAATTCAGTGTAAACTCAATAAAATAGAAATCTCCATTGGTGTTTGCCCCTCACTGACTAATTAGGAAAGTAAATTGAAAAAAAAAAAAAAAATAAAAAGAAAAACCACACTATTGTTATTCATATTATGTTTTTTAATTTTTTTTTTTTTCCGCTCTCTCAGTTACCCCTCACCCTGAACCAAAAAAAATTTAATAGTTGTTCTCCATGCACAGTGGGTTAAAATATGTCATCAATACAGAAAAGAACAATCCTTTTTTATTTTTTTATTTTTTTTTTTTTCGCATTTCTCAAATAGTTTATGCACCTCATCTAATTGTGCCCCAACACAAAATTTTCATCCAAAAGTAAGAATTTCCCCAACAAACGTTTGTTCCATTGCAATAAAAAGAAAACAAACAGAATGGGCTAATGTTTACATTCCCAACTAGGCCGAATGTGCCTAATTAGGTCACACGCAGTGGACACAATAAGTTCGGTACTTAGAGGCCCCACTCAACACAATAAAAAAGCAATCGAGTGCCTAAGAGGCAATTGCAGCAAAAATGTAAAATTTTATTTGTTTGACGAGCAGATGACGACACACTTGTTGCAGACATACAGATTATCGTCCCATTTTCACTCATGGGGTGGAGAAAAAGGGAGACACAAGCAATACATGGAGAATGCCCTGACGATGTTCGCGAAGTTTGCTATCTGGCTATGAAGAGAGCAAGACACTCCTATTTCCAATGAAATCATCTACGATTGCTACTAATGATTGAACTATTGTTTTTGATAACAAAGAAGACTCTGAATGGAACAAGTTTAGGCCGTGTTCATTTGGATATCAATACAGCATCAAAACGTTTATGGATGAGGGAGCAAACAGCATGTAGACAATGAAATCGATTCATTTTTGATTGCTCAAGCTACACATATCATACCATCTTCAAACATGTAAATCTTTAACTGAGATGAGAGCAATCGGCTCTCTAATTCACTCCGATGACTTCACTTGAAATCTGTTGGGTCAACAGCGCCCCATCTCTGTCCATTGTTTTATTGTTGCAAAAGCTGTTCATAAAGCATGTTTGTCACTCTTGGATTGGGTTTTGTTGGGTCGAGATATGTGTCTCGCAATCGCAGATTTGATTGCTTACACGTCTCCTTGTTTGAATAATTTTTTTTCTCCCTGAAATTGTAACAAAAATCTGTTGACAGAATTACATTAGTGCTACAAGCGTAGAACCATTTCTCATGGCAGATAGTGAATGGGCAACATACACTTTCTGCTATCTACTCATAGCAATCAAACTATGACCCCGCCCAGAGGTTCTTAGGATAGGTTGCTCTTTTAACACTATCGACGGAGTTTATATAGGCGATGAGAAAGCAACGGAGCTTATGCAATTAATTGTGGAATTTATGCAGGTAATTTAGTAAATGTTTTGTGTTCTGGCCCAATTAGGAAGTACACGCCTAATTAGGAACAAACATAAATATATCACAATTTTCCAGTTATTTCTGTGTCACTTTGGAATGCTCTCTCTATATTTAGTCACTTGCGCATATGTGTAACTACGGTGTTTGTGTTTATTATATGCATACGCATTACATACAGGAACCAACCACTTGCCACCTATTCGTCGTATTCAGAGATTCGTAGTGTTGAAAACCAGTGCAGCACAATCAACGGAGGAGAAAAGCTTCAAAGTATTAGGCAACCTTGGGGGATCGGTGATCTTACCTCAAAGGAGAAGTACTCAAATACCATCCGCCTCTGAATCTACTCTGTCACGTGTATGCTACGATGATTTGGAATCAAACGATTAATTTGAGTGGGGCAACCAAATTTCATACACAAAACACATCTGTTTAATGTGACTATGTGGAAAATTACCTCACCATGGCAACTGGCATTTCCGCATGGGAACCGTTTCCGCCTCACACACCCCACCTTATTTCAAAACGTATACATAGATAGAGGAGTCAAGTCTGTACTGTAGATGAGATAAAGGATCTTACGATACGATACGATTCTATTCTATTCTATTCGAGGCGAGGCGAGGCGAGACGAGGAACATGATACGTTTGTCCATCATAATAACCTTATTACTATCCGTCACCAATCCTTGTCAAGCAATCTCGTACGATCCAGTTACAGATCATCATATTATTAAACAAGCACTTCTAACCCCCCCCCCCGCTCTCCTAGTCTTTTCTTATTGGCTCATCCTTTGTAAACCTCTAAGTCCATACCCTGAAATTATTTCTGGGGGAGGATAGAGCTCATAACCTTTCTTTTTTTATTTCCGATACCCCTCAAAATTAGTAGCGTGGGGCAGTTTTCTTACTACAAAAACAATTTTTGACCAATATGCATATTTGACTAGTAAGGTATCCGTAACCACCACAATTTTCCACCAGTGTGTAAAGGTAAGACAATCCATCCCCTATTCACCATGTCCCATGTTATTTCCCAAGATGTGGCTCCCCCTCCCCTGGAATGATGCCGCTTTTGGTTCTCTTTTGTCAGACAAAACATACACTACACCATCCAAAAGCCTCTACGAACCGAGATCGTTATCATTGTGGATAAACTATTGCTTTACAGGTACTCGAGAGCATACGTACGTAATTCTTCCTCTTCTTCATAGAGATCACAATCTTTTGTGAGTAGTTGTGAAAGTGATGCAAAAAAAAAAAAAAAAAAATTAATAAAATGATTGGAATCGGTGTGGGGCAAATGACGACGGGGTGGGAGAGAACAAAAGAAAATCAATATATAGTGTGGGTACCACAAAAGACCTTCAATCAAAGACTTCACATCTCCCCCTTTCATGATATATACTTCCACAGTACATGTCTCATGACGTAATTGGACATTGATCACCATTCCTTAATCCATTTAGTCTCAATCCTCTCTTGTGCTTTGTACTTCTTGAGAATACGATGGGTGAACTTTAATTAGACTTCCTGAATTGGTGTGATACTTCTTTTTTTTTTTTTTTTTCTTTTTTTCCCCACACGTCCCTATTGATCTAAAGTGGAGTAAAATCGAAGGAGGGGGAAAGAATAAAAACAAAAATCTTGATCAAACAAAAACTAAGAAAAAAAGAGGCTAAATTGTGATTACTCGTATTCGTAATAAGGCTTTCTGCATGGTTGAAAGAGGGAATAGGAAGTCATGCAGGTTGAATGTCTCTTTCGACGGAGATTAGAAATGGACGTTTAGAGGGGTAAAAGGCTACAAAAGCACTATTTCTTATGTCTTTTTCTTGTTACTTGTGCCACTTGAACCAAGGGTATGGGCTAGTTGGAATGTGCTTGATAGGGGGAGGGTTGGGTGGTCCACTCCTTCTTACCCCTATTCTTCGAGTTTGTTTCTCATCGAGTGCTGGACAAACGGAAGTGAAGGAAGTGAAAGGGGAGAAGTTCATCGAGGTTCTACAAATCAAAAAGTTTGCTCTGGACAACTAACATCTCATTGAGGAGATTGCATATTGATATTGTTTACAAGCTATCTATAACGATATTAAACGAAGGAAAGAGTTTGACTGCAAAATGCAGAACTTCAATTCTACTCTGAGCTTGTGACAACAGAACAACAACACTTGCATGAACCAAGTTCATCTCTAGACTCTTTCGTGTTCACGACCGATGAAGCTTGCCTCCACAACGATCACATGCTCCCATTTGCTTGTGCTTCGAAAATAATCGAAAATGATGTAACTCCGCCATCTCAATAATCTCATCAGACTCTGCCCAGTACTGCAACACCATATCAACAGGATCTAAACACCTCTCTGCTACTCATTTCCTTGCATCAAGGTCCTGCAGCAGCTGCAGCAGCTGCTGTTGCTGCTCCAATTGCCGTTTCCGTTCTTGTTCCATCAACAACTTGCGCCCAATTCTTTCCTTAGCTTCCGGAGTCAAATCCAAAGTTGCGCTCTCCAACACTTCCATCTTTGTAGGCACCTTCTCTCTTTTCCGCCTTGCTATTTCCTCTGCTGAATGTGGTTCAAATTTGACAAATTGGAAATCGGACCCGGTCTTGTAAGTGACGTACCCTCCTAGTAGAATGGCTAGTGTGCCCACTACAAACTTGTGGGTCATTGGTGCTCCTTGTGACATGATATGCAAGCGTGCGTATGAAGTGTGGAATGTGCCTGATGCGGTGGATGCTCTGCTCTATTCGCACATCCTTCGATTGGATTCTCTCTATATCTCTCTCTCTCTCTCTCTTTCTCTCTCTCTCTTTGATATTTGTCGTGTGCGTGTATCAAAAAAGAAAAAAAAAAAAAGAGATTGTGTGGAAGAACAACTGTGTAAGCATGTACTTATGGCAAACAGTAGAAAAAACAACAACCTCTGGAGCTCAATTTTTTGCTGAATAGATTACACATATCGAACTAGAGAGTTCAATACACATTAGCACTATTCATCACATCATATTCTACCACCTTCATCACCAACAACTACACACTACACCTATCCACACAATGGCAGCACTCCCCAAACGAATTCTTAAGGAGACTGAACGATTAGTAAGTGATCCAGTACCAGGAATCACCGCAGTCCCATCACAAGACAACCTTCGGCACTTTAACGTTACTATCGACGGTCCAAGCCAGTCACCCTACGCCAACGGTATTTTCCAATTAGAGTTGTACTTACCTGACGACTATCCCATGTGTGCTCCCAAGGTTCGATTCTTGACCAAGATTTATCATCCAAACATTGATAAGTTGGGTCGTATTTGTCTTGATGTGTTGAAGGATAACTGGTCGCCTGCGTTGCAGATTAGGACAATATTGTTGAGTATACAAGCGTTGTTGGGTGCTCCGAACCCTGACGATCCTTTGGCTAATGATGTTGCTGAGGATTGGAAAAAAGATGAGAAGCAAGCTATTAAAGTGGCACAGGAGTGGACAGAGAAGTATGCATCGAAGAAGGAATAGAAGAAGAGGGGCCCGCGTGTGAATGACTGGAGAGAAGAATGGAAATTGTATTCGGAATTGTATTAACGAGCAGAGAAGTTGGTGTTCTGCATGGAATAAGGGGTTTTGTCAGAAGGCAGAAGGCAGAAGGCAGAAGTGGAGGCAGGCAGAGCATTTCAGAGTAAACTGCGTAGATTCAACTTTAACTCATTTGTGAAACAAGCTTGACGAGTTTGAGTTGATAATATTGGGATATCTCTCCAATACTTGTACTTTTGTACACTAAAGAGGAATGTTTTATATATATATAATGAGACCGCTGTAGTGAGACACTGTAGACTGAAACAATTCGATCCAAAGTAAGACAAGGAATATCTTGCATAAGTAGAGCAACGGCTTCAAAGTGAGATTGTGTTATTAGAGTGAAACTTACTCTCTTTATTTTCTTCTATCTATTCGAATCTGGAATCTCTTACTTTCACAATGAGAGTCTCGACCAGATCCTCCACTCTAGAAGGCAGATCTCTTGACAGTAATATAAGTGAGCAAGATTCCTGATATTTGTGTCTTCAGTGCATATTCGGCGTTTAGTTTTCCCACCGAGACCCGAAATTATAAAAAAAATTTGATAAATTTGCGCGAAAAAAAAAAAAAAAACACCCCAAAACTGAAATAATATAGACAAAGGGAGTAGGTGAATATACATTGGGATAGAGTATTGAGAAGATTATATAGTGAAAAGAAATGCCCGGAGTGTATAATTCTAGACTGACGAGTTAAAGTGCAAAACCGGGTGAGATCAAATATCTCAGTCGTATTGAACTGAAGAGTCACTCCAATTTCTAGCCGTTATATCCATGTCGTGGCTTGTCTTGTCTGTTCTTTTATTTTTTTCTTTTTACTCTCGGACAAAGCACAAAATGCTAAAGAAACAAAACAAGAAAGCCCGAGTTGCAGCCAATCAGATTGTGAGATCTCTTTGGCTGTGTTTCCTTTCCTCCCTGGCAGCGTTTGTATTCTAAAAAAAGAAAGAAAGAAGACAGGTGTGTGGAGCTACACTCTCTTTGCCTCCATTGGATAAAAGCATTCTATTTTGATTAGCTTGTATCCCACTTACAAGCCATGTTATCGTGTAGGTTGGGTGTTGGAAAAAAAAAAAAAAAATTAAACGCCGAGTTTTGTCTTGGATTGTAAATTTATCCTGTATACACTACCACATCAGAAACACAAACAAAAAGGAATAGTCTCTAAGTTAATTACTAACGCCATTAGTCAAAAAATACTAAGCTTATAAAGCTCATCACTGCAAGACTACAGCACATTCTCTTTTCTCTTTAGCCCCGAATATATCGTTCAAGCATTATACTCTTGTATTAACAGCACTTGTGTAGCTTAGAGAGAGTGTATTATTTTATTGAAGGATTGAAAGAGAGATCTAAACACGGGTTTAACTTTAAGAATATCCGTTTAGCTTTTTGATTTAGTGCCATACAGAGCGAAAGCGAAAGCGAAAGAGAAAGAGAAAGAGAAAATTATTTTTCTCCTTTTGATTCTTTACAACCAAAATATATTGCCTTCTTTCCAACATTAGTAATTGATCACCAGACAAAGGCATTGAGTTCAACTGCTCATAGAAGGTATCTGACACCACTAGCTACTACTGCTACACTAGATCCCAACAATCAAAAAATACAATATGGTGTCACAGAGTAGATCTCAGGGGAATGGGAGTGATCTGCCGGACAGTCCATTCAGTGATCTGGCTGCCGATTTCGACACTTCATCTATAGTTCAATCACCAACAGAAGAACAATTCAACAGAAACAATTTCACTCGTCACAACAATATTGATGATACATTGTCGGACTATCATTCTGCACCAGCGACACCTCAATTAAATACCGATCGTTTTGAAGGAGGACGGACGTCGTCTTTACGGTTCCAGCTACCTACAGATCTGTCACATTTTCCCACGCCGCCTCCTTCGTCATCGTCATCCTCCACATCACAACGTCTTCATAGTAATCCAAACAAGTCCCCATTTCTTGATGAAAATGATACAATACTCGAAGACGAGGTTTATGAGAAGCCAAAGTTGCCAGATGCACTGGAAAACACAAACGAGTTGAGTGATGGTAGTCTGGAGAATATAGCCAAAAGAGAGGATACGTCAGATGGAGAGAATGTAACTAAAAGACATAGATGGGGTACTACTAGAAACAAACACGGTAGACCGAAAAAGGAAAATATTGGTCGATCAAAAACCCTCAAAAGAATATTGCATCCACATGGAGACAGGCATAGTACAGAAGGAGATGACAAAGATCACCTCCATCGTCATCGACTGTTCAAGGAGCGCATAAAATCGATTCGAAAACCAAACACCCATACAATCCAATTTCCCGAAAGTCTGAGAAACGAGTCAGATTCGGATGATAATTTAGATCCTGAAACTAGTGACCAGAGGAACAGAAAGAGTGAGAAACGAACTGTTGTTTTTAATAGACCATTGCCAAAAGAGTTGAAAGATCCCGAAACTGGGCACCCAATTACTGACTATCCAAGAAACAAAATTAGAACAACAAAGTATACACCATTATCTTTCTTGCCTAAAAACATTTTTAACCAATTTTACCACAACATTGCCAACATTTATTTCCTAGCATTGATCATATTGGGGGCTTTCCAAATTTTCGGTGTCCCTTCACCGGTATTATCAGCAGTGCCATTGATTGTTATTGTAATCATTACCGCCATCAAGGATGCCATAGAAGACTCTAGAAGGACTATCAGTGACCTGGAGGTAAATAATCAATTCACGCACATTTTAACCCAGGTTGGTAACAATACTGACTATCATTACCAAAATGTCAATGTCAATGAAGAAAAAGTATCGGCATGGAGAAAATTCAAGAAATGGAATACAAAACAAATGATGAAGCTATGGGGTGCATCAAAACGAAACTTGACTAAAGAGGGTAGAGCAAACAAGGAACGGGAGAGGTATAACCGAGAAAACAATATTGTTGAAGAAAACGTGCGAAACTCATTTGATAGTGACGTGGGCTCGCCAAGACCTTCGATGGATGCTAACCCATTTTCAGATCAAATCCGTAAATCATTTCAGCAACAGCGCCATGAAGCAAATCAGCATCATCAAAAGATTCTAAAGTTTGTCCGAAAATATTGGAAGGATGTCAAAGTGGGGGATATATTGCGTGTCTACAATAACGAAGAGATACCAGCAGACATGGTTATCTTGTCAACAAGTGATGACGACAATTGTTGTTTTGTTGAAACAAAAAATCTTGATGGTGAAACCAACTTGAAAGTGAAACAAGCCTTAAAGTACTCTTCTGTTAATGAAAAAGTTGCTAAAGCCGATGATTTGATGGATCATTCGTTCGAAGTTAACTCAGAAGGACCTCATGCCAACTTGTACTCATATGAAGGTAACTTGCAATATGCTGCTAGAGACGGGCAAGAGTTGCAAGAAGCAATCACAATTAACAATTTGCTTCTTCGTGGGTGTACATTGAGAAACACAAAGTGGGCAATTGGTATTGTGGTGTTTACTGGAGCAGACACCAAGATTATGTTGAATGCAGGTGTAACACCAACAAAGCAATCACGTATGTCTCGTGAGTTAAACTACTATGTCTTGCTAAACTTTATTTTCTTGTTTGTGATTTGTTTCATTTCCGGATTAGTTAATGGAATATACTATCGGAAAACAAATACGTCACGAGATTATTATGAGTTTGGAACGATTGCCGGATCGCCAGCACTCAACGGGTTGGTGTCATTCTTTGTGGCATTGATATTGTACCAGTCGTTGGTTCCCATTTCATTATACATTACAATCGAGATTATCAAGACTGCACAGGCCTGGTTTATATACTCAGATGTGGGGATGTATTATCCAAGATTGGATTTCCCATGTACTCCCAAATCGTGGTCAATTAGTGATGACTTGGGCCAAATTGAGTACATTTTTAGTGACAAGACCGGAACATTGACGCAAAACGTTATGGAGTTTAAGAAATGTACAATCAATGGAGTCTCCTATGGGTTGGCATATACTGAAGCCCTAGCTGGATTGCGTAAAAGAATGGGAGTCGATGTCGAATCAGAAAGTGCTCATGAACGAGCCTTGATTGAAAAGGATAAAGTTGAAATGATTGATAAATTGCACGAGATTCTGAAAAACACTACCTACGACGATGAAGTTACATTTGTGTCACTGAAATTCATTGATGATTTACGTGGATTTCTGGGTCAACTACAGCAGCAATGCGATCACCATTTCATGTTGGCTTTGGCATTGTGTCATTCGGTGTTGACTGAGCAAAGCGAAAAGAATCCTCACAAGTTGGTGTTGAAGGCACAATCGCCAGATGAAGCGGCATTGGTGGGGACGGCACGTTCATTAGGGTTCAATTTCAAAGGAACTACCAAAAAGGGGTTTCTTGTTGATGAGCATGGCGTAACCAAAGAGTACCAAATCTTGAATACATTGGAATTCAATTCGACTCGAAAAAGAATGAGTTGTATCGTGAAAATCCCCGGCAATGGACCCGATGACGAACCGAAAGCGTTGTTGATATGTAAAGGTGCAGACTCCATCATCTATGACCGATTGTCAAAGAGCTACAATGACCCAAATATGCTCGAGGCGACTGCCAAGCATTTGGAGGAGTATGCCACCGAGGGGTTGCGAACATTGTGTATTGCTGAAAGAGAATTGACTTGGACGCAGTATACCGAATGGAATAAACGTCACCAAATGGCAGCTTCGGCATTGGAGAACAGAGAGGACAAGATGGAAGCCGTTGCTGACTCGATTGAACGGGAGTTGATTTTACTTGGTGGCACTGCTATTGAGGATCGTTTGCAGGATGGTGTACCTGATGCAATTTCTCTTTTGGGTGAAGCCGGAATCAAGTTGTGGGTCTTGACTGGTGACAAAGTTGAGACTGCCATCAATATTGGGTTCTCATGTAATCTTTTGGGGAATGAAATGAATTTACTTGTGATTAAAACTGCGTATTCGAATGAAGAGTTGGAAAAAATGGAATTGAGTTTGGGTCATGGAAATGGTGAATCACAAATTATTGACACTGTCATTTCGCACTACTTGCGCACCTATTTCGGATCCTCTGGTTCAATTGACGAAAAGGAGGCGGCGATTGGTGACCATACACCACCAGACGAGCGATTTGGTGTCATTATCGATGGAGATGCGTTGAAGTTGGCATTGCTTGACCCGGATACCAAGCGCAAATTTCTTCTTCTTTGTAAAAAGTGTCGTGCTGTTTTGTGTTGTCGTGTTTCACCAGCGCAAAAAGCCGCCGTGGTGAAGTTGGTCAAGGATACATTGGATGTAATGACGTTGGCTATTGGAGATGGGTCTAATGACGTGGCCATGATCCAGGCTGCTGATGTTGGTGTTGGTATTGCTGGTGAAGAAGGTCGTCAAGCAGTCATGTCGTCTGATTATGCGGTGGGGCAATTTAGGTTCCTTGCTCGATTATTGTTGACACATGGAAGATGGTCATACAAGAGGTTTAGTGAAATGATTCCTAGTTTCTTTTTCAAAAACATTATTTTCAACGTGGCCTTGTTTTGGTATGGAATCTATTGTGATTTCGATGGAACATATCTTTTCGAATTCACCTATCTTATGTTTTACAATTTGGCATTCACGTCATTGCCGGTGATCTTTTTGGGTATATTTGATCAAGATGTCGATGCCAAAGTGTCGCTATTGGTGCCACAATTGTACAGATCCGGAATTTTGCGAACGGAAATGAGTGATTTGAAGTTTTACATCTATTGCCTTGATGGTATTTATCAGTCGGCAATCTCATTCTTTTTCCCATACTTGTTGTATTTGGTTGCGTTCCCCACTTTTAATGGAAAACCAAATGATCATCGGTTCTGGATGGGTATTTTGGTGACTTGTATTGCTTGTATTTCATGCAATTGTTACATTTTGTTTCACCAATACCGCTGGGATTGGTTAAGTTCGTTGATTGTGGCTATTTCCATATTGATTATATTCATTTGGACAGGATTGTGGACCACCACAGTGTCTTCAAGTGGAGAGTTTTACAAGGCAGCACCACAAGTGTTTGGAATGACGTCATTTTGGGCATGTATGTTTATTGGAATCTTGTGTTGCTTGATTCCGAGGTTTTTTTACGATTTTGTTCAAAAATTCTTTTGGCCTACTGATGCCGATATCATTCGTGAATGTGTGCAGCGGGGTGATTTTGCCGCGTATCCTGAAGATTACGATCCTACTGATCCCAATCGACAAAAGATTAGTTCTTATTCGAGTAATGCTGTCAATCGAATGAGTATGAGTTCGAAAAGACATCTGGGACATGCCTCTGGTTCGCCCAAGGACCGTGCGACCTCTTCCTCGAATGAAGATTTGGCGCATGCGAATGCGAATGTGAACGGGAACGGGAACGGGAACGGGAATGGGTATGGATATAACCGTGCCGAAGTGTTTGATCAAATCAGTGGTGATGATGGTCAGATGTACAAGAATCCACCAACACCTCCGCCTGGAGTTATCATGTCACCAATTAGAAAGAGGGCACAAAATACCATGAGAAATATGTTTGGCAGACGAAGTAATTCTGATCCTTATTTTGGCAATGCCAATCTTAATGGCACACAGGAGTCAGTGATAACGGAGGAGATTCCATTGGATGATTTTGACACCAATAGTCCTCGGAATAGGGCAAGAGTCAGTTTTGACCACAATAACCGAGTCGTGACGCTGTGAACGGCGTGGATGACATAGGACTAACTAGACATTAGTTGTTACGTGTATAAATACAAAGTCAATAGAAGAAATCTAGTTACACGGTTATAGTTAGGCGTTGTGGATCGTGAGCTTGCGTATTCAATAGAGAAACCAAGGCAAATACTTGCAAATGGCATTTCCTTTTCACGTGAAAAGCTCATTTTGTGACATCTCTTCTCATTTCAGTTTTTTTTTATTACTTCTCTGTCCATATAGATATAAAAAACACTAAAATGGATGCAAAAAAAAAAAAAAAAAAAAAAATTGGGAAGGAAAACAATTATATAGGTTAGCACAGAGAATTACATCAAAAATTCTGATCGGTGTGTGATCATTATGTGATACGACGGCAGCAAGAGACTGTACAAAAATGTTACGCAATTGAAAACAATCAAACGTCTGAGCTTGCTCAATGGAAGTGTCAGATGAAGATACAGCCTCGGGGTGCAGTGCAAATTGAGATAGACAATGGACGAGGAAGGTAATTTGTAGCCAAGCTGAGCTCCGTTATGGAAAAGAGACCGTTTCAATGTCGTTATGTGGCGATGAAAGAGGCGGTCTGTGTACTTAGTGTACACAAAAATTGTGGCTCAATGTATTTTTTTGTTTTATAAATATTGTTATGAGTCGCGTCGTACTGTATATTGGACTTTGTTCATCGGCAATAAGCACATGAAATCAACCTTCTTTTCTTCAAGTGTGTGATGAGTAACCACCATCCATTGCGTGTTTCTAATGCGAGGAAATAAATGGTACGATCTGATTTCTGCAATCTGGGTAAGAAAATATAGGTTGGTTTTATGTCGTAGTTGAGATTCTTTTTAAGAAGGTGTAATGCAAATAAAAAAAAAAAAAAAAAAGAAAGAAATGACATGAAATGAATTGATTTGGCACTGACCAATCAAATCAACCCATTTGTTTTTGGTCTCTTTTGGCTTTATTTCTTTTTTTTTTTCTTTTTTCTTTTCTTATTTTTATGTCCTCCCGTTAATCACCGATGGCATCCATACACACATACAAAAAACAGAGTACTACAATTTGATCTTGGTGTTTTTGTTTGTGTTTTTTTTTTTCGACATTGTTGCTTTGTATCATAATACACGACCCGTGTCAATTTCAAGTTACACAGCTCAATTGATGGTAGTCGAGGATTCCATTCTACAAAGTGCTGGATGTATAGTGTGGAGCGGTTCTAACTTCAACAATGAGAGAAATAGAGAGAGAGGGAGAGAGAGAGAGAAGGGGTTCTTGTTCATTTGTTCACATCATAGTGTAACACATATCATTGTGGTTAATTTATTTTTACTTTTCTCTTTCTCTTTTTGAACAAATCAAATTTTTTTCAATAAAAATAAAAAAAAAAAAAAAATTTTTTTTTCTCCTTGTGTACTTAAGCGCTGTATAAATTTCAACAAAATTTTCGCTGTTCAATTCATATTTAAATACTCCTCTTCTTCCTCTCCTTCTTTCTTTCTTTCCTTTCTTCTCTTTCTCTTCATCTTTTTTTTTTTGGTCCATTAATTCTTATTAATACATATTCCTCCCCAATAAACAATGGCTAACGAGTCCAATTTCCTCATTGACTTCTTGATGGGTGGTGTTTCCGCCGCCGTCGCCAAGACCGCTGCTGCTCCAATTGAAAGAGTCAAGTTGTTGATTCAAAACCAAGATGAAATGTTGAAACAAGGTAGATTGTCTCACAAATACACTGGTATCATTGACTGTTTTAAAAGAACTGCTGCTGATGAAGGTGTTGTTTCATTCTGGAGAGGTAACACTGCCAATGTTATCAGATACTTCCCAACCCAAGCTTTGAACTTTGCTTTCAAGGATCAAATCAAGGCTTTGTTTGGTTTCAAGAAGGATGAAGGTTACTGGAAATGGTTTGCTGGTAACTTGGCTTCTGGTGGTATTGCCGGTGCTTTGTCTTTGGCTTTTGTTTACTCTTTGGATTACGCCAGAACTAGATTGGCTAACGATGCTAAATCCGCCAAGGGTGACGGTAAAGGAAGAGAATTTAACGGTTTGGTTGATGTTTACAAGAAGACTTTGGCTTCTGATGGTATTGCTGGTTTGTACAGAGGTTTCGGTCCATCTGTTGTTGGTATTGTTGTCTACAGAGGTTTGTACTTTGGTTTGTATGACTCCTTGAAACCAGTTGTTTTGGTTGGTCCATTGGAAGGTTCTTTCTTGGCTTCATTCTTGTTGGGTTGGGTTGTCACCACTGGTGCTTCTACTGCTTCTTACCCATTGGATACCGTTAGAAGAAGAATGATGATGACTTCTGGTCAAGCTGTTAAATACGATGGTGCTTTCGACTGTTTCAGAAAGGTTGTTGCCGCTGAAGGTGTCAAGTCATTGTTCAAGGGATGTGGTGCTAACATCTTGAGAGGTGTTGCCGGTGCCGGTGTTATCTCATTGTACGATCAATTACAAGTTATCCTTTTCGGAAAGAAATTCAAGTAAATGTGTTGATTTAAAACCATCATTGCAATCGAATCATCTTTTTTAAAAAGAAGGAGAATTATATAAATTTTTGTTTCATTTTGTATATATTTTATATATAAACTTAGTATTGTAAATGAGAAAAACTACACACTGGATACACTGAAAATCTTTGACCAACACGAAGTGGAGACTGTAAAAAAAAAAAAGAGTTGAAGAAATGATGAGAGTAACGATGAGATGGCTCTTTTGATTTTAAAGCCGTTGCTAGTTTGACAGGTCTGGAGATTGTCCTGACGAGATGTGTGTCGCGATTTGATTCGTTGAAAAAAAAAAAACAGTATAAATTATATACAGGATGAGGCGTTATAACAGCTGGTCCAATACTTTTTTGCAACCAAGGCCACACGAAGGCACAATTGCAGCTTTTGCTCAAACGTTTAGACCGCAACATACGAGATTCGCACCGACTAGCATTACAATCCTAGTACATAATTAACGAAGCTCTGCTGAGATACCTCCACTATTCACTTTTTTGCAGAAATATTCAGACAAAAAAACAAAAAAAAAAAAAAAAGAAAAAACTCATTCTTACAGAACAGCTTTTGCGGTCAAACTTTTATTCAATATCCTATGACAACATATTTCATCCCTCTTCACTCTCCTATATTTTTTCAAAATTCATATACAACAACAGATACTCATTTTGCAAATCATAAACCACTTTTTCAAGTTTCTTGTATCCCAACATATCCCTCAACAATAAATCACTCCCAAACAACGTCTTATAATTTGACGCATCATCAGGATAACCACAACCTATCGCAGAGTCACCGTCATCGTCCATGTCTGCGTCCGCGTCACTGCAAAGTTCCTTATCCTTGCCATCACAAATCTCATTAATCAATGTCATTGAAAACTTGCGAGGCTTGAAAATATCCAAAATCTTGAAAAGAACTTGCGTGATGGGGTATGTCGTGTTATTGAAGGGGAAATTGGTCTCGAATGACGCATAGCTCCACCCTGATTCAGGGGTAATGTGTAGTGTGTAATAGTAGCCTCCTTTGACATTTGAACAGATGGAATTGGATGAGTATCCGCAGGGAGTGAATGCAAAAGCATCGTGAATAAACTCAAATTTAGTAGGAGCGGTAGCGCTTCTGCAATCGACAGATGACCTTCGTTTACCACAACCATTCTCTTGCTCATCATCTTCGGAAAGGTCAGATAATGAAGGTGAAGGTAAATGGGTATTGACATTGATGGGCTCAAAAATGGAGTCCAATTCAGTCTCCACCATGGTGTCCAAGCCCAAGCTGTGACCCAAGTCATCTTGCTCATTCTCAGCCTCCTGACCTGGTTTTCTCGAATAGATAAACTTGCTTGCACACTGAGGATCCAACTCAGTCATTAAAATCTCAAACGTCTGATCAACAACCTTGTGTGGGTGGAAGGCAGCCTTCCTCTCTTGCTGCTGTTCACCTTCTTGTTCTTTCCCACCAACGTATAGGTACCAATGGTCATCACTAGCAAAGTTGCCCACAACATACGATTTACCCAGACTGAAAAACTCATTCAACAATGCAACCTCACTCTTCCAATCTTTATGCACATGCACCTGTTTATCAGGGAACATAAAACATCTTCGTGAATAAAATATCTTGTAAATCTCCTTACTATTGACACTCATAGCGAGGTTCTTGGCAACAGTGGCGAACAACTCTTTCAAACATGCCAATGTGGTTGTAGTTCCACAAGTTTTCAAAATCATCTTGTGTGGAAACACAAACAAGGACGATTCACTCAACAAATACGCATCCATAAATTTGCAACTCTTCATAGACAAGATTTTGCAATTGACCAAATCCAAAATTCGAACCCATGATTGCATGGGGATGGACCGTAATCCTTCATGGTGTACACCTTTTTCATCAATGTCTTTGTCTACACTACCTTGGTCTTTGTTTATGTGACCAGGGATATCATTCTCGGATTTCCAAAACCAGATTTCCAACAATTTCTCTGGTCCTTCAAAGGCAAAAGTAGAATCCAAATTCTTGGACAATTCATGATCAACAAAACTATCCTGATAATAAGCTGGTGGTGGTGGTGGTGGTGGTGGTGGTGGAGCCATAACTCAATCTCAACAATCTTTTACTATTCAAATCTAGTTATTCAACCTGTGTTGTGATTTTTTCAATATTCGTTTTCAAATACAGGAAATTGGGGTCAAACTCTTTTTCTTCTTTTCCTGCTTTGATTTACTAAAATTTGGAACTTACTCTTGTTTTGGAAACGCTTTTCTTTGCTTCCCAAGCTGGTGGAGCTTTCTTCAATCGGTGGTTATTTTTTTTTTTGTATGTATGTTTTCTTTGTAGTGTTCTTGATTGATATTCAAACAAAATGAAACGAAGAGAGAAGTAGCAAGAAACGTTTCAAATCCAAAAAAAAAAAAGGAATATCAATAAGGCTTATAGCTGGGGATAGGTTTGATAGTGGCAGTTGTAGCTGTAGTTGCAGTTGACTGACTGTGCTGAATAGTATTTAATGGATAACGGGGTACTTTTGTTTTAAAATGAAATGCAAAAAAAAATGTCAGCAAATTTTAATAGTGGAAAGGATAAATATAAAGCTCTCGAACGACACGATAGGCAATAACAATAAATGAGGGGACGTAAGTGAGCGGTACAGACGAATGGTGCAATAGGGTAGGAAAGCTGTTGAATTTTTCTGCTACCCTGGTTCAATTAATTTGGAAATATAAAGTATCTGGTTCTGTAGTCGTCTCTTTTTACACATGAAACAACTTAATTAGCAATATGTGACTCCAAACAGTGAACAGTTATCAGCTTGGAGGAAGGAAGTTTGGACTTAGTCTTTGTTGGAAAACAAGCGGCTGAAAAATGACGCTTAAACTTGCGGGATGAACTCTTTTAAATTTGACTTTTTGAAGATAACCAAAAAAAAAATGGGGAATTAAGCAGATAGGCCAGTATAGTGTCAACCGAGTATCAACCTCAAAGTGAATATATTTTGGTATTAGTAGTTTCTTTGGTGTGAAGAAGATGTGAAAAATTTATATATAAATAGCAATTATTAGTCTGCTATATTCAATTTTGAGATATTTTTCACTTTTAATAAAATAAAATTTTTTTTTTGTTTTTTTTTTTTTTTTTCGCTTCTTCTTTTTCCTACTCCCTCTTCTTCCTCTTCAGAGAAGGTCACACGAATCATCACAAAAATTAAAGGAGCTATAACGTACACTACACTCAAGGATACTACTAAACAAAGTTTTACAGAGGAGGATTTCCTCATCCAGTCGAAAGATGAAGGACTGTCATCTGTGCCGAAGGACATTTTACGTTCAAGTACTTCGTCTCTTAAAGAATATATACTGTTAGGGCCAATTGTAGAGTCTGTCGCAGTTGTCACGTGAATAAAAGTTTGTGATCTAAACCTTGTAAGAATTGTTCCTGATAAATAATACATGCGATATTTCTGCTAAATCCCCTTCCCCCTCCCCCTCCCCTCACTGGTGCCTCTCGTCAACTCTATAGCTCTCTGCGTACTAGAAGGGGTCCTATATATATATATATATTCCATGTCATGCTCTTTTCATGCAATTGAGTATTTTATTTTGGGATATAAAGTTCTGTCTGTCTAGAAATTACATTATTGGTTACTAGAGCAACATTTGACTACATTTACAAGGTAAATAGTCGCAATGATAAACTTTTGCTGCTTTACTGTTTACATCTTATTGCTTAGTTGCTTTGCTGCTTCCGTTATAGCTGTTGATGGATTTGTATCCAGGATTGGATTCTTGAACTCCAGTACCTTAGACTTCGACATTGACAACTTCAATGTGTTGAACCAGACAGAGTACGAATTGTTGCAAAGAAGGGTAGATGAATGCAACGCTGAGTTGGGATTTAATTACACCCTGGCAGTCAACGAAGGTGGCTGGGATTTGTACAGAATCACAGGCGACGTAGACCCCGACGACGATATGGACGCCATGATGGAAAAGTGCGTGAATAGTGATTGGCGATTCCAATTTATCATGACTAGCAGAATCGGTCCGGAACCACCTGGATTGGACGACTTGTTTGAAACCGTATTGGGGCCCTTCGACTACAATAACCAAAGACCTGGTCGATTAGGTGATTACGAAAGTAGTAACCTGACCTCGTCCGACAATGCTATTGTAAAGAGGCTCCAACATCAATGCATGGTGTATTTCTCAGGGAGCAACCAGTAACGAAGTCAAACTTGACATGTCTACTCAAACGGAGGAGGTGGTGTTACACCATAAACAGTTAGGGCTATGCGAAATCGTATTACTTTCATAATTTGGGGGTGCTATGACACGTCAACCAGATTATGGCCACATCATTTCTGCAACAAAAGAGACTCATCGAGAATAACTGTAGGCGGAAACAAAGGTAAGGCGGGGAATAAGCATGTATATCTGTTTTACCAGTTATATTAGAAAATAAAGGACTGCCGTTTACTTCCGTAATACCACGGTTTTATAGTACCAAGGAGGAAACTACCATAAACTCCTCACCAACTTACATATGTTTGTACCATAATTCTATTAATCTACACACTAGACACAATCTCACTAGCATTTCTCAACACTTCAACCATTCTAATACACTCTTTTCTCTTTTGTACAGTCAACTCGTTCTCTTTAACCAAATCTGGCAATTCTGGATTATTATACATCTTCTCCAACAATTCTTTTTGAATCTCATCTTTGGACTTATTTATCAACTTCAATACAATCGCCTTGGGAACAATATCCGTAACCGTTCTCTTGACAATGTTGTAATAAGACGAAATCAACAATTTGATAATTTCAGTCTCCATCGATTCTCTCTCGGTCATTGTTCCAGTTGCTCGTAAAACAGGTGGAGGTGCTTCCATTTGTTGTAATCTCTTTTTATTCTTGGAAGAAAAGAATCCTCCAAAAAATCCATTACTATTTTCTTCATTTTTGGGGATGTTGGAGTGGGCCGACGATGGACTTGCTGCTTGCTGTGGCAACGGCTTCCCAGTCTTTGGATCAACGGCGACCTGTGGCTTGGGATGGAACTTTTCCTCAACATACGCCATAGCTTGATTACCCGTTAATAAATCCGGATGAGCCGTGTTGATATAAATTTCTTCCGATTTGATAATGTCAACGACAAAGTTGTTTGTAGGAACCAAGGCTTCTCTCAAATATTGAATGAAATGGTTAGACAATTGCTCCTTCAATGCCGGGTACCTCGAATATTGTGGTTGACTAATAATCTGTGACAAAATACGCACCAATTCATCAAAAATCAAATTTATACATCTAATCGCGGGATCCTCCATTCTCCTAATCTGTTGCTTAATCAACACAACAAAAGCCTGAGTACCAACAAACAATGAAGGTGCAGAACCAGATGTATTGTGCAATATGGTTCTTATATCGGCATCTTTGATTTGATCATATGGATCCAACGCAGTAATACCATTCTTGAAAATTTCATGGAAAACAAACGAAATACGCGCACCACCAGTCAATTCAGCCGAACTCAATTCTTTTGATTCACCATCCAAAATCCCTGTATAATCCTTGGTGAAATTGGTGATCATATTCAAAGCAATAGAAGCCGGTGACTCGGACATTTCGGGACCCAACATTTGCAATTCCGATTGATACTTTTTCAAAGAGTGCTCAATCCTCATTTTGATATCCGGCAATGTGCTCTTGATATGATGCAACAAAATACCATTCAACTTCTTTGCCAAGTATGGGGTACCACAAAACTGAGCTTTAGCTCTATATGACGGATGGTTTTCGAAAAACGCAGCTTCATCTCTCAAAGCTTCTCTAATGGTCTTTTTACTCTCAATATCCTTTTGACCTCTATTAATCACTGGCACATACCCAAATCTAAGTGGAATGACTCTACCTGCCAAGATATCAATCACATCAGTACCTTGATCCATAAGATCAACTTTTGTCAACACACCAATAGTTCTGGATCCTTCGGGGTCAACTTCTCTTGCCAACTTCAAACCATCAGAATTGGCCAAATCGGTGTTTGCCGCATTCACAGACAAGATAATAGCATTGGGCTTGGAGATAAACTTCATAATCATTTCCCTAATCTGTTTCTCAATATCCTTGGGTTGATCACCAACTGGCACTTTAGTCAATCCAGGCAAATCAACCAATGTCAAAGTCAAGACATGGGGAGAATAAATTCTCAAATTGATAGGCACAGGGGAAATACCCAAGTTTTTACCAGTCTTGGCATCAGTCTCACGAACAATCTCATTTCTAATATCTTCAAAATTGTAAAACTTCTTTCCTGGCAAATGCAAAAACTCCCCCCATTCATCAGCATTATTTTCAGTTTGTCCACCATCTTCAGTTGAGTTAATATCAAGCAAGTCCTTCTTATCTTTGTTTGGCGATGCTCTTCTGTTTATCAATTGTAAAACCAAAGGTCTTCTAGTAACGATACCAGTACCTCTTGGTAAAAAATCACGGCCAACGATATTTTCTAAAACTGACGATTTACCAGCAGATTGGGATCCAACAACAGTGATCTGCGGTAAATCAACTGGAGAAGAAGAGCCCCCACCAAGAGGCGCTAATGCATCTTGTAGCTTGTTGATAGTTGCAATCAAATGTTCATCCATGTTTTGATGGCCAAAAAGGTTTGCTTGAGTGTTGTTGCTCTAGTGTTATCTGCTGTATTTCGCCTGGTGGCACTAAACAAAGAGAGAGAGAATAAAAAAAAAAAATGGGAATACGTTGCGTTTTAGGAGTATTTTGTCCACAAGTACACGACTTTGGAAATGCTCTGATCATTCAAAGAGGAAGGATGCTACGCCTCTAAGGCACGCCAACTCGATGAAAGTACTATACCTAGAGGCAAACCAGGATCCAAGCAGGGACCTTCTGCAATGTCGCCACACACTTTCTCCTTTTTTTGTTTTTTTATAACACATATACATTGAATTCTAGGTTTGTCACTTTCTTTAATTCTCCTTCAGTCAACTCCCATGGAACACCAAAGATTCCCGCATTTATCTTGGGCATATTGACAACCTTCTTTCCATCTTGCGCTTCTACACCATCAATAGATTCCAACTGTTTAGCTAGATGCTTCAATGATCGATAAGTGTGCGAGGCAATCTGTTCCGGAGATTGACTAAAGTCACTAGTGAACAAACAGGCAATGTAAACCCTGGACTGCTCAAAATCATCGGCTTCCAAAAGTAAACTCGTTCCTAGTAAGTTGGTATTGTTGAGGCAATAATTGGTGTACTCGGAGTTGGCTATAGGGAATTTGTTTCTGAAAACGGCTGCTATACCGCCGCCCCAGCTACCACCAGTGTTGCATGCGTGAGCTAGAACAACTGATTTGCCAGCTTGAGCAGTGTGGCGAAACAAGTCGCCAGTGATGTACTTGATCGTCATGGGCGGAGAAGAAAGTTGATGGAAGGGTATAGTGTGAAAAATTCGTGTCATTTTTCGCATTGCGCTCTACTCTTTGTAGCACCCAATGACATTCACCACCTACTAACTACTCACTTTAACTTTACATACACAGTTTCCCCTGGTGAATGATGTTTAACCCCATTAAAGTAGAACCCAAGTTCTGATCCGCACCCAAATGTGTCGTAAACCTTTTCGCTTTCCTCGCCAGTACTACCGTCATAGTCTGTTTCTTCAAAACTACTTATGAAGGCTAATGTATGATCAAACTTTTCAAGAGCATCTCCTTCACGTTTCACAAATCTGTCTTTAGGAGTCACCATGAAAAATTCAACCTCATCACCTCTCTCAGGCTTTGCTTCTGGCGATAATGCAATTATATCAGCTTTGGCACCCCATCCACCACCTCCTGCAGTTACTTTGAATCTTTCCACAGCAGTTGACCCCCTTTTTCTCAACTTTACAAACACTTCAGTATCTTTACTTGCCAAGCTCATTAGCTTATCATTGTTTTCCAAGTATTTGGCAGCCGGGTTTCTCTCAATTGATTTCAACAAGTTCCCCACACAGTTTGTAATTTTGAATTGTTTTCCTGGGTACAACGGCGTCCACCTATCTTCTATTTTCGCAGTTGCATGATTGGGGACAATACCTCTCGGTAATGCAACCTCTAGCTCACATAAATGCTGGCCAGAATGATGAGCGCCATTTGACTCTGAATCGAAATAAAACAAAGTTAGGATAGATCCAGTGGAAAAGACCGTATTGGCCAAGCTTATCTTAGCATCCATTTCGTGTCTCAATCCTAAGCTCAAATGACCTTGAATGTTTTTCCAATTCTTTCTAGCGCTCACAGGATTGATTCCGTCACTTTCAGGTGGAGGTTTGTTCAAGTCATCTCTTTCTTCCAAAAGCAACGAATTGCCAATTTTCAATCGACGGTCAAGCCATAGCTCACTCACACCATTCCTTGCAGACAATGGCGCCATTGAGTCAATTCCGGCAACCACTACTTGTAGATTGATTTGTTGGTGGAGTTCAATTACATCTTCAATGACCTGGGGTAGGTTTGTTGGAGTCGAGAATATAACTACTGATTGCGGAGTAAACTTGGTGGGAGGTTGAAGTTTGAATGATAATGGATTTATTGTATACCTAGCATGGAATTGAGAGCACTTGGTTTTGAGAAGTCGAAAGAATTGTCTTTGCATTGGAGGAAGAATATACTTTATACACGTTGTACCTGACCAGTACTTTAATTTTTTTTTTTTTTGCGCTCTCTCATTTTTCAACCTCATCAATTGTTCTCTTTTCTCCTCTTGGTGCATCAACATGGGACTCTGCATCCTCGCCATTCTCTGTACCTTTGCTCCGTCTATCTACTGCAGCAAACTCCGTTGCTAAATCTATATTTTCGCCCCCTTGGTCCAATACTTTCTTCAAGATTGGACCCCAAACATCTTCATCTTTTCCAAAATCCTCCATTTTGAAAACGTTCTTGCCCAACTGCCACTCAGACTGCTTAACCCGTATAAGCTCAACCATATATGCCGAAGACTCCAACGCTCTACCAATGTCACTGATCAAACTTCTGATGTAGGTTCCAGAAGAGACATCCGACACAAAATGTATCAATGGCAACTTTTCTGGAAGGTCCTCATCATCTGCTAGTAGTCTTGGCTTGATATCTCCCGAGTCGTCCCCATGTGCATCAAGGTACTCCTTGGAGAAATACAACGGAGAATCATTCAAAGTTGGATTGTTCTTCAACCCATGTTCTTTTGGAATACCATTTTCATCCAACTCACTCTCGAGCTTTGTAAACTCATGATTTGTTGACAACAAGTCATCATCAACAACTTTAATATCATTCACCCTAACGTCTCTCACCTTTATTTGAGTCGGCAAAGGCAACCCCTTCCTAGCATACTCATATAGCGGCTTTCCATCAACTTTCAATGCAGAAAAGATTGGTGGTGTTTGTTTAATGTCGCCGACAAATTTTTCAGCTGTCAGTTTCACCAATCCCGGTGTTATATGGTCGATTTTTGTCTTGGTTACAATTTCACCCTCAGCGTCTCCCGTGGTGGTAGATATACCCAACAATGCCTTTGTCTCATACGACTTTTGACACTCAGACAAGTAATACTGCAATTTCTTTGTACCCAATCCGACACCAACAACCAAGACGCCACTGGCCATTGGGTCCAATGTTCCACCGTGACCAATTTTAATTCTCGTAGCGTCGGCCTTCTTTTGAGCACGGTTCTTCCACTTTTTATCTCGACTTAGATCGTACAAGACTTTTTCCTTCATTGCTTTCAAGTCAGGAGCGAAAGTTGTGGACTTTGTGAATAGTTCTTGAAGCTCACCTATGCATTTTGCAGATGAGATGCCCGATGGCTTGTATACGGCAAACACTCCGTTCATAGTGGAATGGGGGTTGTGTTGTATGTGAGTGAGTGAGTGAGTGAGTGAGCGAGTGAGTGAGCGAGTGATGATGAGGTGAATTTTCAGTGTCCAAAAACGTTCCAAGATGTCGCGAAATTTTCGAAGCAACGAGCTCAACTACTCTTCTAACTAACGTCAATTACCCTACTCTTCATTTGGTACATAGACTATACAAATGGAGAGGTATCCCGTTTTTCTAGGCGATATTATTTCAAGGTCTCTTGATCGCCACTTGCTATTAACATCCTCAACAAATCGTTCCAATTCCAAAACTTTTCTCTTTGTGTGGGTATGAGCACTGAAAAAGTTCAATAATTGAATGAATAAACCACCGGTTACAATGTCCAAGACATTCTCTATCAATATGATGACACAGAATGGGTAAAATGCATCATACAATATACTATTGACCTGGGTAATAATCAGTAGTAGATCTTCCTTTGGTAGTACACTTTCGAGTCCAACCACCTCGGACGTGGTTCCAAATTTCCCACCATCATAAAACCCAGTTGCAACATTCCCCGCCCCGTTTGTTTTGATGGCACCTTCTTCCTGACCAGGGTATATTGTAGAAAACTGTGGTATCAAATCAGAAAAAGTAACCGTGTCATAGCACCTTGGTATTCGAGCAATCCTCGTCTTGTGGAATGTGCTTGATGACTTGTCGGCGAAGAAATTGGGAAAGTGGTTAATGACTAACGCCGCCTGTGACGAGTCTTGATTGGGTATGAGAAATTCATGATAGTTGAAAAACTCCAACTGCGGTTCTTTTTCCTCTTTCTGTAGATTGTACTTGGTATCGACGAAGCCAGGCCCATGATCATGATGCCCCATGAATGCAAATGTATTGAGTAACAGGAATTGGAGTGGGGTTGTTTATATGTCCTGCAATGAGTCGGAACAACGGTAAAGAGCTACTAATGGACCAAGGTTAAGGTGCTTGGGTAAGCAAATTAAGGGTAGTAAGCGAGTATAAATGCTGAGATGTTGTTCCATTAGTTGTAATGACAACTATTCCATACCAAAACCCTGTAGCTTCTGTCTGTCCCATTTGTAATGCGAGAGTTACACACTGCTTCGAAAAAAAAAAAAAAAAAGCAAAAAAACGAAAAGTTGGTTTAAGGAAAAGTTGGTTTAAAATTTTCCAAAACTTTTCAAAGTAAAACAGAAATCAACAAAGGACATCAAATGCTCCCGTACAGACAGTGTATCAACGGCTGCAAAGTGGTGACCCATTTACGGCGACCAAGCGCGAGACTCGTAGCGCAAATCGGTAGTCAAGTGAGATATCAATCTACTCAAGCAGCAGTTGCGACAGAACCTCCACTCCCAACCCTGAACGACAAACCCTCTCTTAAGAAGCCACTGAAAAATGTGAGAAACTCCACTACACCCCAACCCCAAAAGAAAGTGAATCACAAGCTACATGATGTCTCCAAACAAATCAGCCAAACGTTAGAATCAAACACCGATTTGACTGAATCAAAGGAAATTTTCGAAGAAGGAATTTCATTTCTTCGTGAAGTTCAGCACGATGAGCGCATATCAGATCGAGACTTGTACAGTGCATTTCTCCCATTAGCCACTCAACTACTCGTTAGAGCTAAGAATGATGGTGCTGACTTGGGAGAATTTCTTGAATTGTTTGTAACGTACCGTGTTGCCCATCAATATCATTTCACCGTTGTTGCAGCTAACTTGTTGAAAAATGAGGACGGAAAGCAGGCTGTTTATCAAAAGATTATCCACATGTGGGTGAATTTTATTGAATACCACAAGTTGAACTTCATACCCAATGCATTTGTTGAAACTGGGGATTCAAGAATCAAGTACAACAAATATCAACTTTCGCATCTTGTGTATTATGCTTATGTTTTGTCATGTTTGCTACAGAAAGCGCCATATTCCGAAAAGGATGCTCTTCGTTTCTTTGATACACAAAAGGTTCCCTTTTACAACGAAGTTAAGAATACCCTTTTAAACTACCATGTATTCAATAGACTTGAGTTTGAAAAGTTTAGAGAGTTTTTGGAGGATGATAGGAAATCCAAAATGGACCCCAACAGTGCTTTTATGTTGACCAGGATCAAACGTGCCACTGATAGAAAATTGTTGGACGTGATTTACAATGAAATAGCAGAAGTGTGTGAAAAGCGCGACTTGAAGATTGAGGAGAGGATTATGGTCCTATTGATGGAAAAGTATTTCTATTACGATGAGTATGACCAGGTATTCAGTATGTTCCAAAACATCATGAAGTCTGGTATTTCACCATCAATTGATGCCTGGAACTTGGTGCTTAGGGCCATGATCAATCCAAATAGATTTAGCAATGCAACACCAAAACAAAAGGAGGAGTATATGCACAAATTTGAACGTACTTTAAAGACAATACAAGCAGGTGGACTCAAGTACAATGTAAACACATTGAGTTCAATTATCAGTGCTTACTCCATTGCAGGCAAATTTGACATTGCCGAGGATTATGCAAAACAATATGCCAGTTTAGGAATTAACGATGAGGCGAAAGATGGAATATTAAGAGGGTTAATTTTCAATGACAAAATTGCCGAGGCTGAAGCTAGAATGCAAGAATACATCAAGGATGGTTCCGACTACAAACCAAATGTTGGTGTCATGAACGATTTCCTCAATTACTACTTCAAGAAGCAAAATTACAACGCAATCTTTGGTATCAATGACTTTATGAAGCAGCACGGGATCGAGGAAAACGTCGTCACTTTGACCACCATGATCAATGCCTACTTCAAGTACCTTGTATCGATTGGGAAAAGTCCTAACCTTGGTGACTTTTTGCAAACTTTGAAAGGTGCTAAATCACTTAATGAACATTCGTTTGCTTCTGTCTTGAACGGGTTAACGCTGTCGGCCAACATCGATGCAGCAAGACAGTTGTATAAAGTGTTGAAGAGAAAGTTTCCAAGATCTGCATGGATTCAAAGTGACATGTTGGCCGCAGAGTTGACGTTGGGTGACGTATCCGCTGCAGAACAAATTTTCGTCCATTACATCACCAAGATTAGAAACGATCCTATCATCTGGAACACAATGTTGAGGAATGTCTTGCTTCGTGACGAAAATAAGGCTTTAGAGTACTATGATAAGATGAAGAGAGCTGGCGAAGTTCAACCTAATGAATTCACCTACTACTTTCTTCTTGATTATTTCTACAAGAAGCACAATAAAGAAGTTGTTGAAAAACTCATTTCTGACTTGGCCAAGAGTTCGTTGACTTCATATGGTACGAAGTTGCCAAACGTGCTTTCCAAAATCCACAACAGAATAGTTGAGTTGCCATCCTCCATTTTGGTTCAAATCAAGAACAACCAGTAAAAATAAATTCCATTAAACTACTACCACTACTACTACTACTATATATACATGTAAATACAAAAGAAGAAGAATACTTTCAAAATTCATCAACATCTCCCATTGCTTTCTTCCACACAGGTCCAGCAAATGTGACAATTCGATCACGAATACTTCCCAAATCGTCCAACGCAGGTCTAGTATCCAACATAAATGCCGGCATACCAGTCTCCTCGTCGTCTGGAGCACCGTAATAGTCAATAACATAGCGAACTTCTTTCCAACCCTGGTTTCTTCCCTGACTTCTCAACACAGTCCAATCATGTCTATCAAAGGGTGGAATCGTATTAAAAGTTTCAGGAAACAACTGACCCAACCACAAATACATTCGGGCTTTTGGTGATAGATCATGAGGCTTTCCCGTGAATTTTTTCAACCTTGGCTCAATCTTTGTCTCCCTTGTGTACTTATCCTCCCATTCCAAGATCTGTTGCCAGGCTCCTTCATTTAAGAAATTGTGTACCTCAACCATGGACTCCACAGCATCTTCGGGAATCCCATCCCCTTTACCCTTGGCTAACATTGCATTAAGCATTTGTTGTGGTGAAGGGTACTCCCATAGTCCTTGATCGGGAGATTCTCCTCTAGGAATAGTTGATATCGTTCTTTCAGTAGATAATTTAATCTTTTGGCCCGGCGCAAGTTCACTGGAAATGGCCATGGGCATGTTATTCATAGGGTTCAAGACCTCTTCCGAATCCTTTGAGAGCACGGGACATGTTGGAGCAGCTGAGGCTGATTTTGAAAATGATGAATGATCTATAGGACATGCCAGTAGAGATGACGGTGCGGGGTTACCTGTGTGTACCTGTGACACTACGTTTGACTCAACTTTGTCTGCCCAAAACCAACCCATGGCGACTTTGATAGATGTATGCTTCTGTGTATGTGGATTTGTAGATTATCCTGTAGAGATGAGAATAAGTTTGTTTACTAAGTAAAACTCCAAAATGGGGCAAAAAAAAAAAAAAAAAAAAAAAAAAAAAAAAATTTTGTTTCAAGAATTTCCAGAAGGNAAAAAAAAAAAAAAAAAAAAAAAAAAAAAAAAAAAAAAAAAAAAAAAAAAAAAAAAAAAAAAAAAAAAAAAAAAAAAAAAAAAAAAAAAAAAAAAAAAAAAAAAAAAAAAAAAAAAAAAAAAAAAAAAAAAAAAAAAAAAAAAAAAAAAAAAAAAAAAAAAAAAAAAAAAAAAAAAAAAAAAAAAAAAAAAAAAAAAAAAAAAAAAAAAAAAAAAAAAAAAAGAAAAAAAAAAAAAAAAAAAAAAAAAAAAAAAAAGAAATTTGTTTCCAGATATTCCTGATAGTAGAGGTGTGAGAGATGGTAATCACCAAACGGAGACAAGTGATGAGCATTGCACTTCCTCAGATAGATTAACAGCCTCACCAGTATACACGGTATCAAGGACCGATGTTTGTTTCAAAATGCATTAGCGTACACTCTCACCATTTACCCAGTTATTCCGAAAAGACCTTCAACAATTGAGCGGCATATTTTCTTTTCAATCTCTTTCATTGTGCAAGATACAAGACCCTCCACCCCCTTGATTTTCATTGTCGGTGACTTAGTTGACCTTTGTTTGTAGTAAAGTTGTTGTAGTGCCTCTGCGAACTACGAGAGTAAACAGTGTCGGATTACGCCTGTCTCTTTTCGTTTGATATCAAGTAAGTGTCGTGTTCATATGATAGTGCTACTCGTAAGTGAACTAAGCCATATCAACCCTTTTTCATGAGGGGTACATCTGTACGGAGTTAAACCGCAATGTATGGGACAGAGCAACCCTGAACAAACGTTTTGGCAAATATTGTACCACGATTACGTCACTGTGGATGTATCCTAAAAGCGCAGATATTGCCGTTATCTTTTGCGTTGGAGGAACTATAGTGTCTTGGTCTTGCTTCCTCGGTCTACTTGTTCTATATATATCCATAAATGCTCCCACAACGTCCATTAAGAGCAACGTATCTGCAGCTTCAATTTTGTGCAAAAAGAGGTACCGAACTTGTTTTATTGTTTGATTGCGAGAGAATTGTTCAAACACAATGGACGCTGGCTTGAGGGTAAGAGAGAAACGTATGATAATATCACTAGCGTCTAAGAAACTGCGGTGTATTGTTTTTTTTTTTTTGGCTGCTCATTTAACTGTGTATAAGGCAATGATTCAGATAGTAATGAAATTAACCCTATTGGGGATTAAATTTGGGGATATTTAACGGGGGGGTCAAACACTAAGCCCTGATTATAATGCAGAAAAACAAGCAGGTTTTTATATGAGCAAAATAAAAACAATCAGACTGGACAACTTTAATGATCGTGAGACACCTATCCATGAGAATTTTACCCTAAAAGGAACGATATTACACTTGGGTTTAACCACAGGATACAATACAATAGCATAAACATGGACGAGCAGACACTAGGTTTGATTTTATAAAAACAATTGCGTTCATCTACGAACATACAACTGCTCGGGAGATACAACAAAAAAAAAAAGAAAAATAAAAATTCAAATTCTCGAAAATCGAGTTTAAGCCGAAGCGAAATTTTGCTTTACGGACTTCGTTTTTCACGGTTTTCGAGAGTTTGAAAAGGAGATGGTTGGAACAAAGGTTCACACACTGGAGCAACTCATAACCTTCGAATTAGCTTTCTTCTTTTAGGTTCTGTGGCCACAGAGTAGCTACAATGGCACAAATTACAGAATGATGTCGGTGTAATTTCATATAGTATTGTGCTGATTATAAAAGAAATGTAATTGTGCCTCGAGTTTTTTGTAGTTTTTTTTTTTTTTTTTTTGTCGTCCGACATTTATACACACACAACACACACACACATAGTACCTTCTTTTGTGTCTTGGGTCTGCATGAATTTGAGTCTTATAAGTTTGTGTAATCGGACAGACAAAACAAAACACAGGAAGAGGAATATATTCCAAGAAAGGGAAAGGGAACCAACATCATTAAACTCAGTATTGAGCAGAGAGCTAGAAGGGGAAAGTTTATTTCCGACTGAAACGAGCCAACGAGCAGACCCTCTAAGGTGAGGTAATACCGTGGTTTTCTCTGAGTCGTGTTACCCCCTCGATCTCACTCTCGTCTCTCTCTCTCTCCCCCCCCTTTCATGAATTTGTCTCTGTTCAGACACAGTTCCAGATTTTATTTTCTCAATCCAGGACAAAAACATTCAATACTCAACTCATGAAAAGAGAATAATTTAGATCTTCAAGACATCTCTACTTTTGAAAGCGCTATGAATATACCCAACCTTACCAGCCCCGCACCTCACCTCTACTTTGGACTCCACTAGCTGCAATATTATCCCGGTTCATGGTGTGTGAAAGTTGTCCTCGGCTTTCTATTGGCAGCATTTTATTTTGTGGTGTCAATAGCAACGTTACGCAACAAACACTGATCAGATTCTCGGAGAATTCCAGAGCGCCACTTCTATTGTAACCACCAACCTCTTCTTTTCTTTTGTGTTTGGGTTCGCAAGTTAATTGGAGCTGTTACCGAACTGAGTTTTGTTGAAAGTTTAGCTCATGTAGTGTTTTTTGTACACAAAACCGCAATAATAAACCTCGATATATTTTCTCTGTACCGTGGTGCACGTGACATTTATTCGAGCTTCAATACACAAAATGCGCTACAGTTAAAATATAACAGTCGACTTTTTCAGCTCCCCAAGCCACAGATTACGAGATCTGGAAATTCTATCAACAAAGTCTAAAGTCTATAAAGCAATTACAATACCTCTCCTATTTCAATGTAAGTGAGGGTAAATCGATGGTGGGAAGAGTAGCGGCACACCAGTGAGGAGCAGCAACAGGTGCTGGGATACTGTATGCGATGTAGCGTCAACTTTGTATTAGAGGATGACAGGTTAACCAGATTGCGTGACAAATTTCAGGGCACCAATAACTCACGGAGTACATGAGGACTTACTCAAGTGCACCTATAACGCGTCTCTCAACGAATTGTAATGCTCCCCTAAGCCATAGGAATGCTTATAATACCCCAATTGCAATTCAGGTTTTACGCCATCATCATCCTTACCCACACCACTTGATTTTGCTTCCTCGTTTATTTTCAAAGTCGCAGCCCCAGCCATATGGATGGCAACACAGCACTCAAACACTTTTGCCAAGGCCAAAATCTCCATATCAGACCCCCACATCGCCGTCGAAGTCAATTCGTGACAGTACTCATCCACATCTCTAATTTCACCAGTTTGTTCATCAAACAAGAACGGCACAAAGTCATCTCTGTGCGAAAGTATGTACTGAGCCGATAAGTCGCGCAATTCCTGTACTGTTTTGTCAATACGGTGACGTTGTTGCAATTGGTCCTGGATTGAAGCAAAGAGACAATGACCGTCGGGCTTGATGTCGTGTAGTTTCAAGTTGTGGACGGCTAAGTGCTGACTCATGGAATCTATTTCAATCTGTCTGTAATCCACTGAATTTGCAGTTTCTTCTCTTGCTTCAGTTTGCATGCGTTCAATCTCAGCTTGGCGTTTCGCCAACCTTTCCTTTTGACGGTTTCGCCTTTTAGGTCCAGCTAGTCCTCCTGGCTGGGTATTGTCTTTCTTGACAGGGTTCTCAGCTAATACTTCTTGTTTATCTCCTACCGAAAGCTCGGCTAACAACTGCTCTGGGGTCACTTCAAGTTGTTCCTCATTTTGCCCTTCTGGGTTCTCCAACTGTGCCAACTCCTCAGCATGTTTCCTCTTTAAGTTATCCTCTAGTTCCTGACACTTGCTCAAGACCGACTTTCTCGTTTTCTTCGTGGCTTGCTTCTTTAGACCCGTGATGGTTGCGATGAGATCCTTGTTTTCCTTTTTGTGACGTTGAATCAAGTCATCTCTGGTTTCATCCGTCGTTTGTGGATCCATCTTTAGATCAATTGTGATAGGTCAATTTGGTCACAGCCCGGAGATGCTTGCTTTTGAGATGAGATGAGATGAGATGAGATGAGATGGAAAGGGAGTACCCGGTGGCAATTATTTGTGTTGTGAAAATTTTCAAATAGTAGATCACAAATTACAAGCGTCTGTTGTCAGGGCACAATGTTGTGTCTTTTTTTTTTTCTTTCTTTCTTTCTCTGTTGCTTTCAGGTTTTGTTTTGTTGCAATTTTGGCTCTGACAGACAACAACGACGACTATCGTTGCAAAAAGAAAATATATATACATATATGGAGCACTAAAGCTAATTGACATGAAAACGGTGACAACAACTTGTCAAAATGGCTTGTGGTGGCTGTAATTAAGGTACAAAGGATTGTAAAAGTCACAAGAGTTGAAATCATTTCACAACATGTTTTCTCATACCCTTTTACTCAGTTGCGATGAGCTGTGTAGTGTCTGCATTGTCGTATGGCCACAACAGGAACTCTTACCGAAAGGGGTTTGTCTGTACTTACTTAGTAGGACTATCACATTGGTACTGGACCACGCTAAGCTTGTTAGAGATGTAGGTGTCAGGTGATGAGTCGAAACTGCGGACGTGCCGACATGACTCACATCAAAGTACTACTCTTGAAAAGCGGAAACTATAACCACGCTAAGCTGAAACCCTTCGTTTCTGTTCTAACCATATTTATTCCCCCCAGCCAGCCATAAAGATACATAACCGTTGCAGCACTGATTGTGCCGTGGCAACGTTCACATTTATCAACACGTTACTTACCAATACAATGCCAAATTAAAAAAAAAAGGATCATCCGACTCATGCATTTTGTGGAGTAGAGTGTTGCATTTGTGGTGCTGCAAGAGCTAATTTGTTTCTAACGCACAAATTAAACCAACGATAGAAGGGGGAGAGACAAAGCAAGCAAGCATCACCTGAGCCGAGTGGGTGGATCAGTGGAGGGAATGGAAGAGAAGTGCGAGACGCTTACATGCAATTGAAGTATGTGTGGTTGTACGTAGTATCGCTTAGAGTGTAGACAACTGGTGCAGTTTATAAAGCAGTTGAGGCTATTGAAGAAAAATTCTCAGCTACATGAGATCAGTCTACGGTAAAACGCTTTGGAACAAGTAGCGCAAAAGCAAGAACAGCATCTCCGTTGTCAAGTTCGGCTAGAAAAGCACATAGTTGAGGTAATTGATGATTGTACAACTCTAGTCAAATCAGTTCTTGCTATTCCTTCATAGTGAATTCTCAATATCATAGCGGCTGAGCTGGGCATGGGGATATCTCTTGAAGCTTAAACCAATTTTAGAGCAATGAAGCTCTGCAATTGAATACCCCATTGAAATGTAACCCCAAAGAATACGCCCTCGCCATTCACTCTCTACTCGCGAGGACTTGCATGCAGTAATGGTGAGACTTTTGAGAAACAGACTTGACTGTCTGTGTATGGAACAAAGAGAGTGAAATTTCTTCTTTTTTTTTTTTTCTTTTTTCTTTTGTTGAATTACATAATATGTGTCACAGTGACAAATCGATAGTGAGAGAGATACAGACAGAGACATTGAGCTAGAAGGAGAGAAAAGCAGGACCAGAGGAAGGAGGAGGACAGTAAGAATTGAGCTAGACGCGTGGATTCAAGATAAGTAATTTAAATGCAACGCCGAGACGTCTATAACTACAAAGGTTCCTTTTGGAACATTCTACAAAGTATAAAGTTAAGTACGTTTGCTTCCGAACCATTTAGTCTTCTTCCAGCTGTGCTGCTCCTTCCCCCCTCTCCTACAGCTGACAATTTCCGCTCTCGGTAATCAGTCAATCGACACAAGCTAATTTAGGTCTTGAGTTTTTACCAAGACGAAATAAGGACAAAGAAAATAGTGTGCAAAAGATTTTGTATCTTTATTATCTCTTTGACTTTAATATTATTTCGGAAAGCGGACAGTCTAATCTAAACTTTATTTTATCAGTACCGACTATTTTTCTCCACTTTCTGACGACTTACTTCCGCGAGCTATCGTGTCAATTGGAAATAGGTATTTCTTTACAGAAACTAACATACGGGACACAATTGCATGAAGTCAATATGCGATTGCAGTTGCAAAAGGGGGGGGGAGGTGAGTTACCAAGGTAAAGAAGTAAATCGAATTGAGCTGGTTTGCCCATCCTGCTCAATGTCACCAATACAATTCTTTTTTGTAGTCTCTTTCGGAGCTTAGCGTGGTAATCGGGAAATGTATGTATATAAACACAAACACTTCTATTAGATTTGTGATGTTATCTACCGAATTTAGTTAGTAATACCAAGAGATTTCGAAATATGGTTGGGGAGTATACGGTAGCGTCGTCTAATAATAAAAAAAAAAAAAGAAACGGAATATGAGCGCTAAAGTCTGTCTTCTTCTCTCTTTCTTCCCGACATCAAAAAAAAAATAAAATAAGAGATGAATAAAAAAATAAATAAAAAAAATTCAAGACTTTGAAATTCTATTTATTTTAAAAAAGGAGAGCTACAAGAGTCAGGGAGGGTAGACAAAGTTTCGAAAGGACTGCCATCACTTTGGCTGCTCTAGAGAGTAAGAGAGTGAAGTTACCGTTGCTGCCTTTGACGCCATGAGTTGGATATCAATACTCACTTATGAGAGCTACGCATAGAGATACCTCTTGCTAGATTTGCGACAAATTGCGCTCTTTTGTGGACGGAATTATTCACTTAATTTTTTCATTTTCCTTTGTATTTTTATTTTTTTTGTAAAGGCAAAGCCTGCCGAGAGGTTAGAGGAGAGAACGAGATATGAAAACCATCCATTATACACACCTTCATACAGACACACCCACACCCACACTCTCTCCCTTTCGTAGTGAATGCATTTGTAACATTGTTTTTGCATAAGCTTTAGCAAATTTGTTTTTTTTTTTTCTTCTTCTTCTTCTTCTTCCTTTTGTCTTTGTATTGTTCATTTTCTAGTTGAGTTTATTTTTATCTCTCTTCCGATATTTAGCGATCAAATATTGATTGTTTTGTGCGAAAATTCTAATTCGTTAGGAGGAGAAAAGGAAGGGGAGAGCCACATACAGACACACACGGATATACATATATATTATATGGTCTGGAAATAAAGAAAACGTTTGTGATTGCAACTTTATTGTCAGAATTCAAGAAGAAGAAACAAGGAGAGAGAAGAGAGAGGGGGGGCGGATGGGGGCGGGGCGTGCGCCTAACGCTCAACCGATACGCAATGTGCAAAAGATGCCTACGTAGAAAACAAACGTTTTGTATGGTATCCCCGTCCCACAGGCGTATGGAAACTGACTGAAGCCTCATCAAAAGAATCAATTATTAAACTTCGTGACGGCTTTAGCAAATGTTTCAGTTTGTCCAATGTCTACGTGAAATGAAATAGAGGGAAATTGATCCAGATAGTGAAATCCGTGGTGCATGGGTTGGTTCCACCCAGCCACGTGTATATTGCTCTCTCTCCCTTTTGAGTTATATTAGTGTTGTTTTTATTGTAATTGAACAAAAGTTGGAAATTTTTGAGCCTTTCGATGGAAGTTCTCTTTCTCTCTCTCTCTCTCTTTTGCTCCTTGTATATTTTGTGTCGTGACTAAAAGCACTTCTAGTGGAAGACAGACACCGAAAAAAAAAAAAAATTCAGACGACCCAAGAACAAGAAGGACCGACAGAGATACACACAGTTTTCTACTCTCTATCTCTCTCTTTATATCTTTGCTGATCTGTCTGTCTCTTATACACACACACACACACACAAAGCGTAAACCACCATAAACAATGGATAGGCATTTATCCATGCAACAAAAAAGATAGGACAGAGTCTACTTATATTGCAATCTACTCCTATTTTTCCAATGAGGCGTCAAATTAAAAGCTTAAGTAAATACACCACACTTGCCCTCGTCTCAGACAACAACCGTCGACAAACGTATTACGAGTAGATCACACACACACACACACGAACAAAACTACTGGTCAACCAAAGTGAACAACATATGTTGAGATATAATTCTCAAAAAAAAAAAAAAAATATAAAAAAAAAGAAAAAAGACTCTTGACTATACATACATAGAATACGGTTGTCAAGAGGACGACGACGCATATACCAGCACAGTTCCCACTCTACAAGAAAAGATCTGAGGTTGATAAGAGGTGTTGAGGTATTCTTTTCGTGAAGAGTTTTTAGTTTGCACAAGACATTGAGTGGCAGTAAAAAAAAAAATAAAAAAATTAATGTCTTACAATATTAAAAAAGCCTAAAGCTTTAAACTCCTCGAGATTGGAACAGAGGGGAGGGATTGTGGTATCCAATGAAGTTGAGTTGAAGAGCAGAACAAGGTAGGCACAGTATGTTTCCGTAGTGTTTTATTGCTATTGTGAACTACGGGGAAGTCGATGTAGTTGCGGATTTTGTTGTGCTGTGTAAGAACATAAGTATACCTTCCACACTTGTTAAAAGTGTGGTTTTTGTAAGATAAAAAAAAACAAAAGATTATGCCGAGTCGGGTCGAGTCGAGTCTTTATGGTCCCAAATTCTGTGTCCTGTAAACTGAAAATAAAAAAAAAAAAAAAAAAAGAAAAGATGCAAGTAGTTACCCCTTTGTGGCTCAATTGATACCGCCAGACATTTTTTTATTTCAGTCTCAGTTGGATTGTTTGTTGATTCTGTGGTTTGTGTTACTCAAATATCTTATATGCAGCAATACTGCAGCTAACAACAATCAATCTACTGCATAATGTCACAAATAACACAAAGCACATATTATATGACACAAATATATATCTTTTGTCCTCTTGGTTTCGTATTGTTCTCTTGCTTTTCTTCAAGCGTCTAAATCTGTACAATAATATACCACTAACTACCAGTAACTCCTATACTAACTACTACTGCATACACTATATACCCTACACGCAATGGGAAAATTTCACTACAATTGCAAATGAGAGTTTTTCCATCATTATAAGAATAACTATCAATCCTTTCTTTCTTTTCCCTTTTTCCAAAAAAAAATTCCTCTTTCCCGCCTTCCTTCATTGACTACTCACCAACTTCCTCCACTTCCAGTGTATTGTCATCAAACCACACGGAGGCTGTTACCTGATAACTACTCAATTCAACCATTCACCATTGCATTGATTAGAAACCCACACATTCAATCACACCACAGATACACACGCACACACACACACGCACACATACACACACAGAAAGATATACAGACATATTCACGTATAGGGTGCGTTTTTTTCTTCTGTTGTTTCCATTCTCTAACTCAATCATTCATCCCATTCATCCTCGTTGTTTATTGCCGACCTAGTTTACGTTCTTTTTCTTTTCTTTTTTTTTTTTTTATTTTTTAATATTATCTTTTTGCTTTTCATTGGTGATTTTATTTTTTGATATTTCCAAATTGCACATATCATCGAGTTGTGATTTGGTCTTTGTCAATTTGAAACTACATCTACATTATTCCTTGACTTTTGCCCGTCACTTTCACTAGTTTTCAGCAAAAGAGGAAAAAGGCAAAAAGAGAGACATCCACAGAGACAGTTTTCAACACTTTTAAAACATCTCCATTCATTATCGTCATTGTTTGCTTTTACAGTATCTCATACTTCATTCGCATTTATTGCATTGCCCTCAACATATTCCAACAAATCATCCATTGTCAACTCCAATACATACACCACACTACACAATTGACGATATATTCCACCACACTCATAGACAATCGTTAACTTTACAAAACACATTTCAGGGGAACCTTATATATATATATATATATCCCTTATCAAAAATCTTTTCCTTAATTTGCATTCGCAGACGATTTTCACGGTTTACACTACTACACACATTTTGTGACACAGACGTTGTTTGAAATCTATTCATTTTCATCAAATTGTTACAACAACACTTTATAGACGGATATCATCATCTACTTTCATTTTGCTCAAGAGGAAAAGAGTTCACTTATTGTCGCAAACGAGTTTGAAGATAGACACACATACACATATACACATCACATTTTGCATAGTTTGATCAGTACCGGTTACTACTCAAACACAACACCCCCCCCATACACACACAAACACACAGAGACGTTTGACTACTTTACAGTCAGCAGAGGCAAACAAAGGTACATTTTGTCCCACACGCTGCACACTGCACACCACTTGCAACAACCATCATTTCAGAGGTCATCAAGAAATTAATTTGTGGTTCACACAATTTACTTTTTTTTTTTTGAAATTTTACAACCAAAGTTGATTCTCATTCATCACCACATTGATACATAACACAGAACTTACACATCAGTAGCTCAAACCTGCTTCCACCACTTTTCCTTTCACACTCACACAATTAGCTTACGGTCATGATCCCGTCTACTTCCTCACCCGATGCGTACCATCAAACAAGAGTTGTACAGCTGCAAATCAAGTCATCAAACTCCAACTTACAACAAATGGAACGCAAGACCCACACGACAACAGTGTCAGAGTACCAATTGGAAATGTTGGAGCACCTATTATCAGTTGAGTCATGCACGTTGCCCAATGCGTCACTAATTGAACAACAACCAGAGATCAAGTTGAGTATGAGACCATTGTTGCTTGACTTTTTAATGGAGGTGATTACAATCCTCAACTTGTCGCGATCGACGTTTCCCTTGACGGTGAATTTGATTGATCGCTATTGTTCCACTCGTATTGTCAAGAAGCAACATTACCAATTGTTGGGGTTGACTAGCTTATGGATCAGTTGCAAAAACTTGGACCCAAAGTTCAAGATACCCACCTTGAATGACTTGCGCAAGATTTGTGTTGATAGTTACAACAAGGAGTTGTTTATCGAAATGGAGAAACATATCCTCAAGTCGTTGGAGTGGGTCATTAATAGTCCCACATTTGATGCGTTTGTTGATGTTTTCCTCAACATGTTGGTGTCGGTTGGTGATGATAATGCATTGGTTATCAAGAAGTGCTACAACAAGATTAAACTTTCATCATACTACCTTGGCGAACTATTCCAGTTTTATCCAAACATGTATTTCGAATACTCGCCATCACAAATTGCCATCCTTGCAATCATGTCAAGCATCTCGACGTTGAAACTTTCTGTCAATATCACCACCATTTTAGATTTATATAATAAGCTATTGGGAAACACCACGAGGCAATTGACGATGGAGAATTTCCAAAGTGTCTACAAAGCCATCAGAGTATTGGCATTGCCCAACAGTTTACAACAACGGTATTGTGTTAATCAAAACATCAACAACGGTGCCAACAACCACAACAATAATGGCAATGTGAATCCCAATCTACCACCAAAAACACCAAAAGTTTCAATGCCATTGACACCGGGGCCAAGTCCAGAAGAGAAGATTTCAAGGAAAAGGCATGGTGGTCATATTGACCCGCCGATGATGGTTCATGAACGAAAGAGGAGTTGTATAGATTTAGGAGTTAGAATATGATACTAATGTTATGAAATGGTAAAAAAACAACAAAACAACAAAACAAAACAAGAAACAACAAAAAACAAAGAGCCAATTAACGTCCTTGTAGGTGAAAACTGCACTGTATTGGGAGAGACACAGTATAAAGACAAGGAATCAAGAGAGAAAAGGGGCCATATTGGTGGATAATGCAACTTCCACCAAGATAAGTCCGTCTGGCGTAATCAATCACTGAGACAGCCTTCCCTCTGCCTCCCTCTGCCTCCCTCCGCCTCCCCCCCCTTCGCACGCATTGTGCAAAGGTTCGGAAATTATCGTGTGCAAGTCGCCTTGTTGCTTAAGCACGAGGCAGGTTAGTCCATATCCCCCATGTGACAGACAACCAAAAAAGAAAAAAGAAAAAAGAAGAAAAAGAAGAAAAAGAAACTTTAGGTTGATCTTTCCCGCCCAGTGTACGATCTACACGACAATTTGGCGTGGATGCAGGAGGGTGGGAGAATAGAAAAGTAGAGTTTTGATAGGTGAAAGCAAAACGTTCACTCTCCTTTATACTGTGGAGACCAACGTAATAGCAGGTACACGCCGGTCCAGACAAATTTCATCTGGTTTGCTAGACCATTTGTTGTATATCTAAGCCTTTTCCTGAGTAATTTGTATTTCCCTAAAGGAGGATATTTCCACAAAATTGTGCTCCTCTCTCCCTCTCTAAAAACAATATATTGAAATAGAAAAATCGTAAAATTGTGAAAGTGTGTCTGAACTATTTGTAGAATCTTCTATTTCTCGTCAAAGTGTAGAGAAAGAAACGGGGCAGAGGGGACAATTTGTTGACTAGTTCAGAGCAAACGTTTCCGTCAATTTTGGGTACAGACGCCTGGAAGTCTAAGAGGATAAGCTTTGGTTAGATTTTGGCTGGTGTTTGAGTTGGTCTCAAAACATACGCTCTTGGCGGTAAGATAGAGTCTGATAAAGAGACGGGCTCGTCACCTTGAACCACAGGGTGTTTTCTTTTCTTTTTTTTTAATCGGCGGAATCGATAACAAAGAAGGAGTGGGAGAGGGGAAAGGGGAGGGAGCTAGAAGATAAAGAGACTAAAGATTCCTGGTGAATGTCGGGATTTAGTTTGTCATCATTGTGTAGAAAAACAATAGTAAAATTTCATCTCCTTTCGGTATATACAGCCCCCCATACAAAAATATTGCGGAAAATTAACAAAACCAAAAAGGGAGGAAGGAAAACACGCGGAGCATAAACCTGAGATCTTTTTATTTTACGCACGGGACCTTTTTCCCATTCCTCTGATCACCTGTTGCGTTTCACTGGACAGGGATTTCCAGCTTGCACTTGCAGTCTCTAGACTTTGTTTCAAGCAAGAATTTCGCTAGTCTCCGTCTATGCACGAGCCCATATTCTCAAACACACAAGAGCGCAAGTTGTCATGTCGTCTCTAGTTGTTGTTACGACAACTCTGCAAAGAAAGAACGTAGAGAAACAGAAAAAGCTAGCAACATTTAGGCCAACACGGTTAATCATCAACTGCCTTTCCGAAAGTACACCCGTTCAATTGAATGCTCAACGGAGATATCAAATTCGGGTATGGAAACGTTTGATGTAAATGTTTTCGAGATGGCACAGATCGTTGAAATAGGGAGAGCCACAGACAGACAAACGACTAATAATACAGAAAAATACATATACATTATACGAACTCTGCACTTTTATAGTAATTTGCCGCTTTTGTTTTCTACCCAACATGAAATGGACCCAATAGATAAGATGTTCGAGAATTAACCATCCATTTGTACGAAGTGTGGTGAAAATAGCCGTACTTGCGGGAAGGAGCTAGACAATGGCGGCAAAACATACCTTGTCGGCATGCCTTGTGTATTTTTTTTTTTTCTTTTTCATTTTGGGACACCCATCACCAGCCAGAAATACTTGTAAACCGGAAGAAGATCTACAGACAGACACAATGTTCAGCAATCTTTGATGGATCTTTTGACGTCATGTCTAGGTCATGTTCTCTTCCTTTCCATCTCTTAACCACATGTATGCATGCTGTAGACGACAATCGATTGAACGTTTATAAATAATCCGGCGTTATTACATTTTTCGTCTCCGCATTTTAGTCCCTCCCTCCCCGACTTTTCCCCCTCCCCTTCCCCCTAATTTTTTTTTTTTTCTGTCTGAAAAATTTCGACCAAAACGGAAAAATCATTAGCCCAGGACACAAAACGCAAGAACTCGACAGACAAAAAATAAAGGAGAATTGGCTGGAGGATAATGTAACGTGGTAATATACAAGGAAGACAAGAAAAGAAAAAGGGGGACACACATATACAAACAATATACTTTTTAGTGACGTAAGTGCGCCTAAAAAAAAGTACCAGTTCTTATACGAGACTGTCTGAGTCCTCGGAAACTTTTCCTGCGGCACGAGTAACGACGTCGACGTCACTTGTACACCTCCTTTTTAAAACTGAACTAAACTCATGCCTGAGTTACACATGAAATTGTGGTTACGCATGCCACAGTTTCTTTCTAGACAATAGCACTCTAGTACAATCAATTTAGTGACGTAATTTAGCTTACAACAAAGGACTAAAGCTCATAACCATCTACTTGTTAGTTGGAAACTAAGACTACAAGGATTAGAATGGGATAGAATACCGACGGTGAAGTTGTAAAAAGTTCGAGGAGGTTAGTTACAGAGTAGAACAATCAAGTAAGTAGCCAACTAAAATAGTAATGTGCTGGGTTTTTCTTTTCTTTTCTATTTATTTTTTTTTTTTCTGTTTCTCTAAATAATAGACTGAATTTGTTGCGCCCGATGACTCCTAACCGAATTTGGATATAGGACCGAACAAGAAAGGGGTGAGTTAAATACATGGATATACTTTTATCACAATACATTTCAGAAAGAAAGTTTAAAGAAAGTTAAGAAAAACATGGAAAAGTTAAAGATATTGTGAGCTGTTGTTCCAACAGGAGATCAGATTCGCTGTTGCAATGTTTTGGGAATGTAGATCAAAGGCAATTGTAGTGGACAATTACCGATACTGCGAGCCCCTTTCCCATTTGCTGCTATAATTTCTTATGATAGTTCCCAAAGCTGGCTAGATAACGTACCTACTCGATTGTGCAATACCACAGGAGAGTATACTGACCAGAACCACATCTGTCGTCGTCAAAACCTGTATAGAAGGTTGTCGTTACTGCACCACTTAGCCAGCAGCAACAACAATTAAAATTGCATCTTTTCTTTTCTGTTCTAATATGTGCGAGGTTTTACTTTCCGTATCGGGAATCTTCAATATAAAAACGTTTACAATAGTGACAATTGATTTTCCTTGCAATCATCACACACACACACACACACACATGTCTACCTTTATCAACACCACATGTTTCTCTAAATAGAGGGGCAAGGGAAAGTTGGCTCTCTCTGACGTAATCGAAAAGTGTGGAGAGGCGAATGGACGAAATCCTCAATTCAGGCAATAAATACAAAAGATTTTCAGTTTTGTGATGGAATTCTGTATTGCTAAAGATAGATTTTGCTCTAAGATGAAAACAATACTAAAGATAACATAGAGAGAAATGGACAATCGTCCTTGCCCAACATTGACATTGCAAAAAAAAAAAAAAAAAAAGTCACGTTATAACTCGCATAAACAAAACCACCCTTGTAACGATCATGAGACTTTTTAACCAATCCCAACGACGTATGGTTTATTGTTCTGCAATGATTAAAAATGTTTTTTTTTGGAAATAACCACTATATTCAACGTGCTGAGTGTCTCATTTATTTCTTTTGTTTTTTTTTTTTTTCGTTCAATTAAACTGTGTAATTTAGATTAGACTGTGTCTCAAATGTATGTCTCAGATTTTACGACACTCGAATAATCTCTCTTTTAGACGAAGAAGAAAAAAAAATATAAAATAAAATAAAATAAAATAAAATAAAATATAATAATAGAATTTAAAATATAATAAAGAGTGGCTTGGTGTATGCATTGTTTTATCTTCATATCTTTATATACTTTTTATTAGTTATAAATTACGTACGTCTATGTTGCCTCTGGCATCCATCGACCGAAAGGGTTAAAAGACAGAAAAAAAAAATTTTTAAAACAAACTCTTCATTATGTAATGCCAATTTTATAAGTATTCAAAGTGTCAAGGATATACTACTAGGTGCGTTTTTGGAGGATACTTACTCCCTAAAAAATGGCCACTCAACCTCTATTCCAGTAGCTCTCTCTTTAATTACTTGCGTTTTCCTAGAAGATATCGGACTTCAAACCACGGAATTCGATTTGTGGCCTCCTTCAGAATGTAGATATGTCTTTGCGTATCCAAAGTATCCCACACTGTAATGGTGGCTAATTATTTATTTTCGTTGACCGACACTCGAAAGCAGACAGAAAAATAAAAAAAAAAAAAAAAAAAAAAAAAAAAAAAAAAAAAAAAAAAAAAAAAAAAAAATCAGACAGAAAAAAAACAAAGAAAAAAGAAAAAAGAAAAAAGAAAAAAGAAAAAAGAAAAAAGAATGCGAAACTCGTGTCGCAACATGTTTGTTCACGACATTATTCCATTTTCCATTCTCTTGTGAGATGCGATGTATCTTCAACTCCCCAGAACAGGCAAAAAGGTGAACCCTACATTAGGCATACAATCAAACACTCCCAATCAGATATAGGCAACATTGCTTAACAACGATGCCTCCTACCTCAAACATCAAAAAGAGGCAAAAAATCGTCCAAAATCAGTATTCAGGATACATCATCCCATCACCAACAACAAAGATTGATGCCATTGACGTTTCGTCCTCATCGGCAACAATAACTCCTGAGACATTTTTCAAAGACTATGTATCGAAACGTAAACCGGTGAAAATTGTCAACAATGATGATGCCAATTTGCAGTTTATCAATGTAAAGAAATTTCAATTGAAGAATTTGCAAACTACATTGAATTATAATGATGAGGAGTTACAAGTTGAGGAATTGTTTCAAGGTGGGTTCGGACTGGGACAGAAACGTGTTGATATGATGTTGAGCGATTTGGTTGATGAGTTTGAAAATGGGGATCGTGAGTTGTACTTGACTACGCAGTACGACCGTGAAGGTGAAGATGAGGAAGAAGTGGAGCGAGAAGATGCAGAAAAAGTGGATGCAGACAATGAAGAGGATAAGGAGAGGGAGGTGGAAGAGGAGCAGGTAGACGAAGATGAAGAAGAAGAAGAAGGCATGTTTGAGCAAATGTCAAATGCATCTTCCATAGACTTGAGCAGTCTTCGTGATGACTTTGACGATTTCGACAACATTTCCAATGAAGATTCTGATTACGAGGCTTACCAACGAGTCAAGACTCTATACCAACCACCATTAACTAACCTTGCCAAGCATTCAGCAACAACAACAACAACATCATCATCATCATCATCATCAGATATCCTACCTACAAACCCACCACTTATACCAAATCTAATTCCACAACAAATCAACATCTGGATGGGCAAAACCAAAAATCATTCCAAGAATGCCCAGTTAAACTTCGACACAGACCAATTGGACCGCAGTATACCCAACAATGGAACAAGTTCAGGACTACATCATGATCATGCTGACAATTTGTATATCCTAGTCCAGGGCCGCAAGAGATTCACCATCTACAGTCCAAATGATGCGTTGAAGTTGTACACTGTTGGAAAAGTTTACAAAATATTCAGTAATGGAGTAATTGATTATGAATGTAATGAGCAGTTCCCCCATTGGCGACTGATTCGTGATGATGGCGCCATGATTGAAGATGTCTTGCACTGGCAATTGAGTCAAACTGAAGATGAGGATGAGACTGAACAGTTGAATGAATTGCTCAGTGTTTACGAAACTAAACGGAAATCAATCAAGCCAGGTAAAGAGAGAGTTGGAAATGAACAGCAGCTGTCGCGAGATCCACCAAGCTTTTCCAAAATTCCTCCTTGTTTACTACACATTGACGAGGTTGAAGATGCCAAGCAACGGGAAAAGTTGATTGAGTTTGCCAATACGCATTTCCCGGGTTTCCTAGAATTGAATAAGATAACTGTGTGGTTGAATGCGGGAGAAATGTTGTACTTGCCTGCAAGTTGGTTTCACGAGGTGTCTAGTTTCGGTGATGCAGTAGATTCCAATAAACCAAATGGTTCAGGAGATGTGGCCACTGACCCTGGAGCTGACACTAGAACTGGACCTGGAACCGGGGTTCATATTGCCCTAAATTACTGGTTTGTTCCACCAAACAAAGATGATTTTAATAACCCATACACAGATGGATACTGGGAACAGGATTGGCAAGAGACGAAAGAGGCTATTGAGTTGTTTGCGAAGGGCAGTAGTGCTGTTGAAAAGTAAAAGATGAATAATACGAGTTGTTTCTGCATATGTGTGTGTGTGTGTGTGTGTGTGTGTGTTTTGTGTGGCTCTATTAGGTAGCGTTTGCACGTGAACAAACGAATTTTGTGAAATTGCGAAATTATTTATGTTCAAAAACAAAACAAAATAGGGGGGATGTTGTGCGGTGCGTGCGCACGCCATAATAATTTCTTTTATTTGGTTGCAAAAATTTGTGTAAATAGCAAAACAAGAAAAAAAAAAAAAAACATAAAAAAGTGTAAACAATACTTAAAGATAATGCGCTTCCATCTGCGTACTGATTAATTTTTTTTTTTTTCTATTTTCTATTTTTAAATCCGAGAGCGCATTAACAGCAGGAGAACAAAAATAAAAAATTTGACTCAGAGTCGCATGGTTGTAGCCCTAATCGAGAAAATCTCCACCACAAAGCTAAAAGGATTTTCTGAATGTATCGGATTTGACATAGATCGAGCAAGGCAAAGAGGTAAAGAGAGACCTGGGGTGTAATATGTATTTGTCTTAGTGTATTCTACAAAGTATAGATATTCTCAATACTTGATATATGTGCTCAGGGTTGCTGACCTAAATTTCATGGCTGGTAAATTGCTGTGAGATCTGAAATTGTTTACGTGTTCTTTTTAGATTATGTTTATGTTTATGTTTATGTTTATGATTTTTTTTTTTTCTTTTTCTTGAAACCCCTCTTTCCCTCTCTCTATCCATTACTCTCATATGATTATCTTCTTATTTACACAAAATGAATTGTGATATGTCGTCATAACTACTATACTGTGTATACTGTATTTTGTAGAGTATAGAATGCTACACTTTATGCGATACTGAATTATACCAAACTCTGTTTATATGCCATAGATAAAGCAAATAAGTAATTGTGGCAATTTATGCTCACAATTACTGGTTTGTGGTTTGTGGCAACGATAAGGGAGACGTGCGCACCAATCAAAAGAAAATCAGAATTTTTCGTACGATTTTAGTGTAATGAATGGTTTAGTTAGATAAAGATTGCTAACTTCAGGGTGGGGTGAGGCGAGGCGACTGTGGCTACGTAGTAAGCAAACAGAATGTAGAGGAGGAGGAGGAGGTGGTGGTGTTGACCAAGACTACGGTGTAGTTGAGTCTGTATACCACACTGGTTAATATCTAGCTATACTATGTCTTTTTCCTTCCATGGTAGAATGCTACAACTTGAATCTTTCTCCTATTGATTTTGTGGTGGCTAATGGGTGGGGATTCGAGGCGAAGAACTAGGGCGGGGCGTATGGACTGCGCGCACATGGGTCGGGGCAGTCCGCGAGAAAAAAAGAAAAAAAGAAAAAAAAAGAAAAAAAAAAGAAAAAAAAAAAGAAAAGAAAATAGAAAATAGAAACCAAAACGACATGAGATTACAAGCGAGCAATGCAACGACAATAAAGTAAAGTTAGGGATCCCGTCTTGAGTCAGATGCAGTTGTGTAAAGAGTGCGAGAACAGGTGTCTATGTGTTCCTGTACTCGTAGCTGAGATACAAAGCACACTTCTCTCAACCGGATTTAAGTGTGTGACCTCCGTATCAAAACCCAGCTAATCAAATTCGGAAAAAATTAATAATAAATTTTAAAAAAATTGGAATTGATAAATAGAAAACGTGCGCCATTATAATTGTGTTCTAAGGCATTAAATTTGAAATTGAGATGAGTATTAATTTAAAATGCCACAGCAATATTTAGGTTATTTGATTACGCACTGGTGGGCTCCATTATCGTCTTCCCTGTGTGCTACATGAGTGATATTTTTGGTGGAGAGGAGTGGGGTGTACTACAAACTGTAAGGTTGTCTTATGCCTTTATCTCTTCTGCTAAGTGTGTCAGTGTGCGGAATAGGAGAAGACTAGATTGTGCAACAGTGCACTACCTTTATGTCCTTCTATTGTTTTGATTTCTTTTGTTTCTTGATCTGTTAAGAAAAAATAAAAGTGTTTATATGCAGTACTACCACTAGCAGTAACTTCTGTTACATAATCATTACATAATGAATTTTAATTAAACAATTTGAATTATTCCATCCCCCTATAAATATATTTAACCATCCTTTTCTTTACAATTTTTGGTTTTTCATAACTACAACCAAACACTTACACTTATATCAGATTAAATCTACCCTTAGTTCCAATAGAAGGTATAACTCCCCAACTACCATTACCACCATTACCCTTTTTTTTTTTTACCAAACTCATTCCCATCCAATTTCACGTTCTTTTTCTGTACTTTTTGGAACCTTTTTTTTTTTTGTACATTTTTTATTACATCAAACTCAACTGTTTTTTTTATTTTACTTGTCTGTTATAGTACTACTACTACGTTACCTCAGAGAGACAGAAGCTTAGTTGACTAATATTTCATTATCATTCGTTGACTACTGACTGCTACTACTACTACTACTACAACAACTACAACTGTTCAATTACTGCTACATCAAAACAAAAAAAGATAGAACAGTTTTCAACCTTCCCTTGCGCCGACGTCAAGTAACCAAACAGAAACTGGCGCTACGATTCACAACAACCCACACATAGGCAAAAAAAAAAACACAACGTCTCACAGGTTTGTTCAAGGTCACTACTAGTTTTTAACATTTTTATTCCTTCCATTCTCGATTCACCAATTACGATTTGATCTATTATGAACTAAATCTATTCTTACTTTAGAGTGGAAGATATCATAATACAACACGCATTGAGTACGACCTAATTGCCCCCTCCCCCCCTTTTTTTTATATATCTTGTTTTACAATTTCCATTTTTTGTACATTGGATCTACAAACTCAGATTGATACCAGAGCAAGAACTACTAATCCAACTGTGTTTATCATCAGAATTGTACCAACTATACAATAGCCTATTTTTGATTTCTCACTTTTGTTGTGTTACTACTACTTATCAAATTTCAAAACCCACTTGATTTTTGTTCCATTTGTTTACCACGTTTAAAGTCTAGCTAGCTACCGATTAAGTGATTGACCGGCATTGACTACAAACAACAAAAGGAACTTCAGTGTCTATATCTATTCCAAAAAAACAATCCAAAAAAAACAACAACTAACAATCAACAATCAACAATCCACAATCCACAAGGTTAACCCCGCAATACTGCTAGCATTCACATACATACTTTGAAACTCACATTTGTTCTTTAAATCATGGCATTGACTGATAGACGTCCTATGGCATTGTCCACAAATACACCAGTATCTTCACCCACTTTCAATCCAAACACATTGAACATTTCCAGTAGGAAAAACAAGACTAGGAGCAATAGTTTACCATTGCATCCTACTGAGAAACAAGATGCTACTGCCGAAGAAGGAGAAGATAGCGGTGCAGAAGGAGTCAAGCAAGATGATATGATTGACGATGATGAACAAGTGGACCACGATGAGGACATGGACAAGAATCTAAAACAGAGTGAGTCAAATTATACCACTTCAAACTTTGAAGATGGCGACGATTTAAATCATGATCGGGATCATGATACGAAAACCAGCGCAAGCTATGAGAATAATGACGAAGAAAAGAATGAAAATGACGACGATGGCAATGGCAATGGCAATGAAGATGAAGATGATGAAGATGATGATGACGGGCACTCGATTACTTCCGACTTAGGCAAGATGGGTCTCGCTAATGACTCAGAGACCTCGTCAACTTCAAGGAGCACTTCTCCGGATTCAGTTTTGGACAAGAACAAGTCCATCTCAAGAGAATCTACCCCTCCCACAACAACCTCAACCCCTCCCTCATCACAAAATGATCCAGCTTCTGATGCAAAGCCAGCAGCAGCAACAACACCAGCAGCAACAACACCAGCAACAACAACAGCAACAGTCGAGAAACCCACAAAAAAGGCTAAAAAGACAAAGCCAATCTCGAGAGCTCCTATAGCTACCGGAATCTCGACTGCAATCCCCGTCACTGGAGAAAAACCAAAACCGATCCAAGAAGGCGATGCATCATTAGAAGATGACGTCTTGTATGCAATATTTGTTATCCTTTACGAAAGAGATCCCCAGGGCCATGGATTCACGGTTAAGCAGATTTGTGATGTCTTGACTGAGAAACATCCACAAATTGCCCAATTGTCGACAAAGACCTCGAATTTGGTGAGTGCCAAATTGAATGCCTATGTCAAGAGAGTGGAAAAGGGCGATACTAGTTTGAAATATGCAATTTCGCGTGATTGGGCCGATGCGTCACCAAAGAGAATGGTTTATGTGTATCGTGGATTATTAGCTCCTGGATTTGAAGTTGTTGCAAAGAAATTGACTGATGAATTGAAGCAACGGAGAAGTGAGGAGAAGGCCCAGGCTGCTAACAACAATGGCAACAATGAGAGAAATGATGGTGATGGAGCCGAGGATTATGACCATGATCAAGATGGTGTTGGCAGTGGCAGTGGCGGCGACGTTGCTGACTCTGCTGTTGATGCTAAACCCTCTTCATCCGGAGCCACGTCTCCCAAATCTGGGAAAAAGAATGCCAAAGACTTGCCAGTTTACACTTCAGCTGATGACTCACTTGCAGCTGGTAAACAAGCCACCTTGGCCAAACCTAGAAGACAAACCATGTTTGATCTTGGAGTCACCAAAAACTCATTTTTTGAAACTGGGTCTGGCTTTGACAAGACGAATTTGTTTGTGCCTTATGCTACCGCACCCGTTACTGCTGCTTTAGCCAGTGTGAAGGCACTGAAAAGGAGACCTTCAAACATGATGGATCTTGACATTGAGACAAGTGGGAACGTGGGGGGCAGCGTTGGTGGCGACAAAGACGGTGACGCCGATGATGATGATGATGATGATGATGATGACGATGACGATGATGTTGTTGATGATTTCGCCAACGTGTTTGCCGATTCCGACGACGATGACCTCGATAATGACAACTACATGGTTGAAACCATGCGCAAAAATGGGAAACGTTCAAAATCCATGTCGTACTTGTCAATGACGAAAAAGACAAAAGTGTTGACTGCTGCTGCCGCTGCTCCTAGAGCTTCTCGCGCACCTAGCTCACACAGCCCTAATGCTGCTGCTGCCGCCGCTGCGTTGCATGCCGCTGCAATCAGGGCAATTTCGAGATCGTCCACCAACATCAACGGCAGAAATGGTGTTTCTCCCGGTTCAGAAAGTGCTGCTGGTTCTGATTCTGGTTCTGATTCTAGATCTGGTTCTGGTTCTAGCTCCGGTTCTGGTTCCGATTCAGGTGCTAATTGTGCTGCCACTGGCTCACTTTGCGCAAACAAGAAATGGTTGAGTGTTATCAGATCAGGATTTTTGAGTCAAGATATCGGAGCACCTGAAGACACCAGTTTATCAGACATTGAAAAGTTCTTCACTTAGAACTTTTTACAGCAAATTGAAAAAGAAATATATATATATATATATATATGTGTATACATACAAGTATATATCACGTATAACGACTCTTTATTACTACATTTGTTTTATTCTCTTATATCAAGTCCACGTAGATTCAACTTCTCTACAGATGATTATTCAGTTTGATCAAGTCATGTAGTACTTTGGTCCATCCCCGCCTTCAGGCACAGTCCAATTAATATCTTGTGAGGGAACTTTGATATCACAAGTTTTACAATGAATGCAATTCTGTGAGTTAATCTTAAACTCAACATCCAAACCTTGCTCGCTGTCGTTTCCTTCACGTGGCAAGTACTCGTAAACTCCAGCAGGACAGAACCGTTGCTCAATGCCCTTGTATTTTGGCCAACTCAACTTGGCATGTTTGTCTAAATCCTGATTGGGTACTCGCAAATGACATGGTTCATCTTCATCATGATAAGTGCCGGTTCTCGACACTGACGTAAGCAAGTCAAATGTCAATTCGTTGTCGGGTTTGGAGTATGTGATGGGCTTGTAGTTGGATGCAAGTTTGGTGGCTTCGGCATCAGAGTGATGGAATTGCAACGTCCACGGCTCGTGACCTTGTGTTACCATTGTTGATAATCCAGAATGGGCTAATCCACCAATTACACCCAATGGCGAATTGAAACTAGGTCTCACATTTCTCACTTGGTATAATTCCTGATATGCCCAGGACTGTTTGAAATTGGACTCATATTCAGACAAGGCAATTGCATCATTGGTAATTTGATGTTCAAACTCTTCTTCATCATCCAATTCCAACTCCTTTATACGGTTGAATATTGCTTCGGCGGCAACGATCCCCGACTTGATGGCGGTATGGGTTCCTTTAATCTTGGGCACATTCAAGAACCCAGCCCCACATCCAACCAATACTCCACCAGGGAAATACAATTGTGGGATGCTTTGATATCCACCTTCGTTTAAAGCTCTAGCGGCGTATGAAATACATTTACCTCCACGTAAAACATCGGCGTAGTATGGATGTGTCTTCATTTTTTGAAACTCTTGATAGGGTGAAATGTATGGGTTGGCATAGTCCAATCCAATGACTAACCCCACTGCAACTAATCCGTCACCAAAATGATAAATAAAACCACCCCCATATGCAGCTGATTCTTTAGTCAATGGGTAACCCAATGAATGGCCCACGTATCCGGGTTTGAAATTTTCCGGTTTAACTTCCCATACTTCTTTAATTCCTAGCCCATATGTCTGAACATTGGCATTCTTGCGTAAATCAAATTTTTTAATCAATTGTTTAGTCAATGATCCATGGCATCCCTCAGCAAAAACGGTGATTCTGGCATTGAACTCCATTCCCTTTTCAAATGTATCCTTTGGCGCGCCATTTTTATCAACCCCCATATCTTTTGTGGCAACTCCAATCACCGAATCCGTTGCCTCATTGTAAACAACATCACTAACTGAAATACCGGGGTACAATTCCACCCCCAATTCCTCAGCTTGTTCACTTAGATACTTCACTAAATTGTTCAAACTGGTAATGTAATTCTTTCCCTTGTTGGCCAATTGCGGAGGTTCAGGCAACGACCAACTAGATTTCTCAGTCAAATACTTCATATGATCTTCAGTAACTTTCGTAACCAAATCTGCCGGTACCGGGATATCCTCCTCCGAATCAGGAAACAACTCGCGTAATGCTTTTGGTTCAATAACGGCTCCACTAACTATGTGACTACCAAAATCAGCGGCTTTCTCCAACACAACCACACGTTTGTCGCCATTGCCTTGTTCATTGTCCAATTGCTTCAACTTGATTGCTGTTGCCAACCCCGCTGGACCGGCGCCTACTATACAAACATCCACATTGTCCTTAGGCCTTTCTTGATTTAGTATCTCGAGTTGTTCCTCTGTTAGGTTAGCTAAGCGGCGTGGGGTGCTGTGGAGTAATCGAGTAGTGATTGTGTTGCTGCAACTCCGAAAGACCGCGGAATGATGACGTAGCTGACGTGTGACCGCTCGTGGAAGACTGGTTGTTGACGATGACGCTAGGAGTCTTTGAAACATGGCTTGAGAAGAGTACAAGGATGATGAAAAATAATGTGTATATTTGCAAAGACAAGCGTTCAGTTGCTGTGTCTTGTGTATGGTGATGTGCAGAATATAGGACTGAAAAATTAATTTGACTCAGATTTGATGAAGACCTGCATATAGTTGCAGACAAATCAAATTGCGTAAATTAATCATCAGGAGAGCATATTGTAAGATTGGGAAATGAGAAGAGGTGGTGAAGCAGTAGTTTGGTGATGTGCTTTAAATGGTGAAGGCTATGGACTCGTATTGATTAGTCAACTTGGGTTTCACTATTTTTTTTTTTTTTTTTTTTTTTTTTTTTTTGGTAATTTATTTACGTAAATTTCACTACAAATTTGCAACAATTTGAAGTAAAATTTTCAAGAAAGCAAGATATGGGAGAATGATCTGCGTTGATATACTCTACATATGAAAGCAAAATACATAGTTGTTGGCATCAGTCAGATATGAAATGCTCAACCCAACCAGTCACGACGTCACCAATAATAGCTCCACGAAACAGCACGAAGATACGTCAACAAAGATCAAAGTCGATTGCACAGTTGAGGAGGATAGATCCCCAGGGTGAAAAGGTCCAATAGATTTTCGAGCTGAGACACCACATTAGTCCCGTAGCTTCTCCACCCTACTTGCTTTTTTTTCTTTTTTCTTCTTGGTTTTTTTTGTTTCTCAATTTTGTATCCCCTTTGAATGACGAAACAATTTCAATCCAGTCCAAGAGACAAAAGCCCACCACCAACACACCACGTAGATACACCATACTTTAACAACAAGATCATCAATGACTTCAAATATGGTAGTTAATTGTCCATGTAGCGGAGTTCCTATGATTGGTGATATGATGAATTGCCAAAGGTGGAAAAATGAATTTATGGTGATGATGAATAGTAGGTATGTTGAAATGAGGATTGCGTAGCCGTAGAGTCGCAAATTGGGAGACTCTTCATCTGATTCTCTTGATTCGTCTATGTGAGTAAAGTTTGGGTCATCTGGCATGTGAATGTTTGTTGGGAGGATATTTGCCGTTACCGATGGGGAAGTCTCGATGAATTTTTTTTTTTTTTTTTGTTTTTGCGCTTCGAATTGACACAGTATTACCCTTTGCCAATTGAATCGGGGGAGGGGGAGGGGGAGGAAGAGGGGGATCGCGAGTTGAGTGTTGGCTACTGCAATACTGCAAACTGATCAATCATAGACACAAATACTCATGTATTGACTCTATGTGCAAGAGTGTTGCAAAATCAATTGGGATCGTGTTTCGCAGATTAGGAGATCTCCATTCTACATCAAAACACTTTTGCTGATAAGGAACCTTTTTACAATTGATACAACTCTAATTACTAAATCCAAAATAACAAATCTATATAAGATCAAACAATCCTCTCCACCCCTTTTGCGACATCAACTCATGTTGGTATCACCCTGTTCATCCAAATTCAACCCCATCAATCTAGCTTTATTCACCAACGCGTCATGAACAAGTTGCAACTTCTCATTCTTTGATTCCAAAAACTTGATATACTCAATCGACTTGGCCAATATGGTACCCTTGTTCAATTTACGAGCCGGCTCCAATCCTTCCAAATCTATGCTTTCAATCTCACGATCATCAACAATTTGCATGTCAAGTCCGTCGAAGTTGGTCAAGTCTTCGTTATCGGATAAACTGTCTTCAGCAGCAGGAGGAATGGATAAACCAGTGCAGGTGATAGCATCACTAGTGGGAGTACCACCACCTCTTTCTTCTTCGGTTTGGCGTTGGAGTCGTAAACGTTGTTTTTCTTGCAACTTGCGCAACAACAATACTTTCAACGTGGGCACCGACTCTTGTAATGCATTGAATTTGTTGTTGATCTTGTTCCGGTACCGTTGTTCAATCACATTATGAGCTGATTTGATTCTTGGCCGACCAGTTTGTTTTTTCTTCAAGAGTCGTGCTGTTGTAGTTGTAAATTTTGAACTTGTAGATGACACGGGTGTGGAAATGAATGGGGTTGGTAACAGTCCTGAACTTGTAGCTGATACCATTGCTGCTGAAGATGGTGGCACTTGTGAAGAACTAAATGAAGCGAAAGTGGATGTAGACGTTGTATCCATTTCCGATTTCACATTGGATAACGCTAGTTTTCTTTGTTTATTGATTGAGGATGCTCTTGATGAAGGTGGCTGCGCTGATGGTGTTGTTGTAAACTGTCTCACTTCTTTGTTTAATGGTGACAACAATGGTGATTTGGACACAGGTCCAAAGTTTTGTAACCTTGATTTCGTCATTGTTGCAATCCCATTTGCTTGCATCGATGATAGTGTTGACGCTGATGAAGCTGACGACGATGCAATGTTGAAGCTTGCAGGTGGGGGTGTAGGCGTGTGGGTTTGGAAACTTGTGTTTGACTCTTCATCCAAGCTGGCATTGCTAGGCTCCTCGCCACGGTTGATTGAAGTGTTGATGCTTGTCATTGCTGCATCAATACTCTTCATTAAATTGCCATTCATTGGACTGGAAGCACCAATAGTTGAGTTTTGAACAGTAAGAGGAGAGCCCAAAAGACTCTGTTGTGAGATGGCTTGTGAGTGTGGTGTCTGTTGAGAACGCTGCCCCTGCTGCTGCTGCTGCTGTTGTTGTTGCTGTTGTTGTTGCTGTTGTTGTTGCTGATGATGATTCTGTGTCAGTGATGCTTGATGGACAACATTGTCAACCATATTAGCTGGTCTTCCAATCAGTGACTCATTCTCTAAAAAGCTCAGTTGTTGGAATTGGCTCCCATTGACGTCGTTTCCATGGGTAGGTAACTCATTATCTAATTGATTATAATTGTTAACCATTGTCGCATTGTCAGCCGACGTGGGAAATGGTGTTAGTTCGTTCCCCAAGTATTGTGTGTTACTAGGTAATTCCCTGAAATGAAAGCCGTTTTGCTGATACTCATTGTGAATTGATGTTGATGACGGTAAGCTCAACGCTTTTGCCCTTCCGTTCAAGTACTGAGGAAACGATTGATTAAGTGTAAAATCAAACTCTTCTTGGAAATTGGTAGCGTTGCCAATATTGTTCTCCTCCATCTTTATCAAATTCTCCGTACTACTGGTGCATGCAAAGCACAGTGTCTCTTCCAACCTTCCAAGATACTGATGTTGTAGTTGCTGCTGCTCTTGTTGTTGCCGTTGAAGATTAACTTGGTCAGCCTGTTCTTTGTTGTGTAGCTGCATAGAGCTAGGACTGTAATGTGGCTCGGTACTGTTTGATCCAATGCTTTGGATATCATCTTGGTTTTGATTTGATCTAGTTATGCTTGTGTGTCGGTAATGTTGTTGTGACTGAGGATCTGAATTGGGCTGTTGTTGTTGAGAAGAGGATTGGTATGCGTTTTCTCGAGAGCTATTGTGCTGTAGATTTTGCAGTTGAAAATGGTGCTGTTTTTGTTGCTTGTCTATTGTATGCTGGTGTTGCTCATTATCATACATTGTAGGTTCCAAATATAAACTGTATTGAAATTCTCTAAATGGCATTAGTTTTCTAAACTGTGTGTGGAGGTTGACACAAGGAAATGAAAGAAAAAAAAGTGTTAGTTTGGTACGGTTATGAGATGGTTTGATTTGAATTTATAAACCCCTTGCTTCTTTAAAACTTTTTGTGGCAGATGTAGTAGTTTCTTTTTCACTTTTTGAGGAATATGTTCTAGTCTGATGAAAGCTCCTGATGATTGATCAATTTCAACAAAAAGAAAACCCTTGATTATGAGAAGCTGATATAATATCCACCAATGGCTGGTGAAGTGAGAAATGACGATGGAGAAAATATTTAACGTGGTGGGATATTATATAAACAGGAAGTTTGTAGGAATTATATACATTGACGCATGCCAAGGTATAAAGTAAATAGCTGCAAAGAAACACCATAGCCTGGAAGAAAAAAAAGAAAATACAAAAATTATATCCGATCCTTCTCTATTGAATCTCTGTCTATATGATGTGTATGTGAACCCTTGCAATTTTGTTTTTTTTTTCTGTGTGACACAAGAACAAAGAGAAAAGACAGAACGTTTGACACAAAACCGGCAACAATAGAAAAAGAAGAAATTCTAACTTTTGTTTCTTTTTCCTTTATTTTTAGCATACTCCGAGTCCTGTACTACAGAGCTGTCAACAACAGTACAAAATCAAAAAAAAAACAGAAGCCAAGCAAAAATTACTTCACCAACACCTGACCGGCAACACCACTAGGAGCCAAAGCAAAAAAGAAAAAAAAAAAAGAAATACAGCAGTAAAGAGAAAAGAGAAACAAAGTACTCGCCTAGTCGGCAAAAGCAGATGAGAAGAAACTGGTGGAAGACCCACAAAGTTCTTTTTGGGGTCATGAATGGACAAGAGAATGCTTGTTTGATTGTGTGAGGTGAATGTTTTTGAGAGATTGGAATATGTTATAACCACCTTTTCAACCAACTTGCACATGGAGGTTGACTTGAATTGTATTCAATACTATATCGAGTATGCCAACTTGTGTGCGGTCGTGCGACGTTACCCTGTGGACACGGAAACACAATATTGTGGGGAAGAGAAGAGAAAAGAATCCAGAGTTTGTGATAGGTCTGAAGTAATCATCCCACTGTATCATCTAAAAGAGAAACAAATTTTGTTTTCTTTTTTTTTCCTTCGGTGTCAAATCCCGAAAAGTTAAACTATAGAAACAAACAATAGACGTCTTTCATTATTGCATTATGGTATCACATATAGTGTCTTCTCGGATAACTAACTTGTGGCAAGATATATCCATAATTCAAAACAACAGATAAACCGGATTTAAATATGGTGTGCACTTCTTCGCTATAGTCTTGTTCTCTTTAGTTGGACCTTCTCAAATTGTACGTAATTACGAGATCTCTTTTTGGTTACATCAACTGCATCAAAACTCTTATAAAGTGATTGACAGATTTTAAGCGTCTCTGCAGCAAAATTGGGGTAAAGCATAGCCACAACGTTTTTCTTCACTCAACGTCTTTTGTTAAGTCCGTTCCAGGGTGCATAATGCAAGGGCCATGACCTAGAATAACTGTACAAATTACACCAAGCTTTCATTTGGTCTATCTATAACGTATACTCATCTTTCCCATCTCCCAACTTCCCTCAGAAAAGAGCAAATGTAAAGAACGTCACAAGCTTGCAAGACCTAATCCAATCTTTTGTCATCGGTGTTCCAATTTCAGTTTTGTGTACACTAACACAAATGCAAGAGAAGGCAAAAAGAAAAAAAGATCATACGATTGCAAACTAAATTGTCATGCACAGACAAATTGCACAAAAAGAAAAAAGACTGGTGGTAAGAAGTTGATATTTGATAGCGCTGGTTGTCAGAAATTACTGCTTCGATTACTGAACCGGCTTTAGAGTTGGTGCATGGCTCCGTTTTCTTCTTGAAGAGAGATGGACAGGCTAGCTCGTCTGTTTTTGTGTTTACGGAAAAATTACCAAGCAGATACGCACATGTTGCAGAAGTGCTCTGATTACAAATTCAGCGTGAAGTGCTAGAATCCAATATGCATTTATGGAAGTCAACACATTAGCTCGCGAACATTATTCCTCTATAGTTTGGAGAGGGCTCCTTCATTCTCACTTTGAATTTCAAAATCAGTGAAGAATGGAAACTCCGACTTGTAATGAGGTTCATGATTCAAACAAAACCTATTATTGGATAGAATAGAAAGCAACAGCTTCAATATTGTTTAATTTATCTTATATTCTGCTGTCACTCATCGGATATTGCCCTTTAGTGTATAGCTTTGTTTAAAGATGTGTAATCTGTCACGTGCAAAGGTAGCGCTATACAGAGAGAGATGCCTCGTCTGAAAATTTTAAAGTCTTGTCCAAGTCGATACAACGATCATCCCCTCCGATTCGTCAAACAATGTCTGACCTACATGATCTTTGTAAATTCCCACAACGCCCAATAACAGGCACGTACATAGACAATCTCAAGTACTATTTAAAAAACGGAATACCGGCTACTTACACAGTTGAAGAAGCATACAATTACACCAATGGCATCGAACAGGAGGAGCCCACGACAACTACGACTCCTTTGCATTTGATATGCACACATGTGCCCAAGGACGTGACACAGGACGAAGTTGGTATTGTTTGTCGAATGGTTGAAATTTTATTTGAGTATGGAGCTGGGTGGAGTTTCACTGACATTAATAACAATACGCCTGGTTGTATTTTGATTGCGAGGGGGTTGGATAATTTACCAGTTTATCAGCAGATAGTTGATGCTGGAGTTAGGGCGGAATTATTGTTGAGGAAGGTGAGTGAGTATGACATGGAAGTGATTAGTGACACTGAGGATTTGGACCATGAAGCATTTGTGGTGAAAACTGCTGAGACCGAGGACAAGGACGATGCTGCTTCAAAGGACGAAGAAGGTGCTGCTCCAGCTGTGCCGGTTGCCGAAGCTAACCCACCACACAATACCTCTATTAACAACACGTTACCCGATGATGAGCCAAATGCACCTTCGCAAAACCAACAATCATACCTCAACACCAAACTCGAATACGTAGACGATGCATTAGTCACAAAGGACAGGAAAGACGGGGTGATGATGTCGTGGGAGACAGATATTATGCAACTTGGAGCAAACACACTCTTCAAAGGTGCATATATTGAACAAGACGAGCTTGATTCGGAAGTCAACATACTAAACATTGGGTTTGGAATGGGGATAATTGACACCATGATCCAGGAAAAAACCCCCACCATGCATTATATATGTGAAGCACACCCTGACGTGCTTGCGAAATTGGAGACGGATGGATGGTTCGCCAAGCCCAATGTCAAGATTCTTGCAGGGAGGTGGCAGGATGAACTTCCAAAATTACTCAACCAAGGCGTTTTCTTCAATGGGATCTATTACGATACTTTCTCAGAACACTATTCCGACATGTTGGACTTGTTTGATATGGTGGTAGGGTTATTGAAACCACATGGTGTTTTTTCGTTTTTCAATGGGTTGGGAGCTGATCGACAAGTGATTTACCAAGTGTATAGGAAATTGGTTGAATTGGATTTGGCAAATTATGGATTGGAGTGCAAATTTGTGGATGTTGATGTTCCAAAATCATTGTTTAAAAGAAAGAGCAAGCGAGAGAGTGGGAGTGGGAGTGGGAGTGGGAGTGGGAGTGATGATGATGATGGCGATGCGGAGGATGGGAGTGTGTGGGATAATGTAAAGAGGAGCTACTGGTCTTGTCCTACGTATTATCATCCGGAAGTGAAATTTATAGATTTTTAAAATGTTATAAATACATACAAAAATGAACTCTTTCTATACCAGTACTGATTTTTCAATCTCAATGTTACAACCCAACCCCATAAACGCCTCATCTAAAGCTCGTTCAAACACATTCGAAACTCTCCATCCAGCACCAAGGTACTCCTTATTCTTTGCCAATCCAAATATGTACGGATCATGGTAACTATCCTTTGAGCTGTTTTCAATATCCATGATTTCGTCAATGGTTTGCGGTACCCGCAACAAATGGTACTTCTTGTGTACTTCTCTATCACCTTGAAAGGGGGTAAATGGAATATTATTAGTCTCGTCATCCTGTTTGGATTCACCCCTAGCCAACGGATTACTTTGGTTAAACTGTTGCTCGAGTTGAGAGTTGATATGTTGCAATTGCCGTTTACGTTGTGAATTCCGCTTCGTCAATTGGTTTTGCTGTTGCTTGATCAACTCCTCACTACTCATTGAACTGTTTGCCATTCGATCTAGTAAATCTTGTTGTTGTAATTTAGTAAACTCCAAATCCTCCAATTCCATTCGTTTTTGAATCTTGAGTTTCTCCTGTTTCAATCGCTCCATTGCATCTTGATACTTCATCAAATCAGCGTTCTTTTGCGACTCTCGCATATTCTTTTCAATAATCTCTATTCGATGGTCTCGTTCGTATTGGTCTAGCTCGCGTTCCGTTTGTTCAACATCAATGCCATTGTTTAGTTTGAACACGATATCCTCAATGTTTTCCAAGTACTGGTTATACTCTTTCAATTCGGAGAAATCTTCTTCAGTCTTGTTGTATATAGCCCCAACTTTCCGCCTTATATCAATCTCCTTCTCAATCACCAAGTTTTCAAAAATTTGTTCCTTGAATTTATTCTTTCGAAGAATTTTACCACATTTGGGGTAGGGACAAGGTGCTGGACCAAGTGAGAATATCCTATCTACACAAGACTCGCATATTTTGTGGTAACATTCAGGGTTTATTAAGAATTTCATGTTTGGTGATAAGTATTTGTCAGTTTTGCAGATAGGACACATGTCCTTCAACTGATCATCTACGGATGAGTTAGTATGGAAGTGAGATGTGCGTAGTTGCAGCAACTGCGTACCTTCTGCTGTTTGAAGCATTTTTCTTTTTATTTGGACGAGGACGAATGGTGGTGATGGTGGAGACTAAAAGCAATCGAAGTGTGTAATTGATTAGAAATCCTTGGTTTTTTTGAATATCTTTTTGTCAGTTGGTGAAGTTATATTTATATACAGGATGCAAGTGGCAGAGGATTACAAATCTAAAAGTGACTGAGCATTAGTTGTTTAAGGCATCTGATGAAGATGTCTCAGATTTAACTAGATTCATGAGCTGCTCTCCAGATGTTGTACCAAGGTATTGCAGCTCCTCTAAGTTGGGGAAGTTGCCAATAAAGTGAGTGTAAACCACTTTTCAGCTAGATTTTTCAATGTGGGACTCTCGAACCACAGTTGGTATCAGATATTCGAGATAGTTGCGATCTGTCGTAAATGCCTCCATCCTAAGAAGTTGACGACTGTATTATCACTCCTTAACGATTGTGTGCGTAATGCTCTAATGAAGTTGGTAGCAGCGTTGGTTATACGTCAGCTTTGACGCATAATCTACATCATGACAAGGGTTATATGACAATTATTCTGACACGAATTTCACCAGATGGCTTCAGTTGTATGTGTAAATGGTTAGCAGAGTAGTGCCTAGACATATATACTTGGAAAAGCATTCCACAGTGTTGCATACTGAATTTAGACGATGAAAGAGATAAAAAAAAAAAATAAAAACAGGAACAGACACAGATTTCAATCTCAGACAGACACAACACGCCAGACAAAAAAAAAGAAAAAAAAGAAATACTACAGTTATAGAAAAAGAGAGAGAGATAGACAAAGAGAAAAAGAAAAAAAAAATATTAATAACAAAAACAAACCATCAATTCTACGGAACCACAACAAAAACAACATCAACTGAATCCACCACCACAACAATCGACAACAAACTGTACTGCAATTTGAGCTTATAGTATAGTTTTCCACTTCACACTACTCTACCTTGCAGACATTGCTCACCATACAGGAACCCACCAACTTATTCAATTACCTTCATATCAACTCAACAAACAAAACCGAGGCGAAATCACTTTTTCAATAATGTCAAAGCTGGACAAACGCAGTGAGGTCGCCCGTACTTATTCCCTGCAATCAAACAGATCTTTCAGTTCTAATTCATCTCCATCAGTATCCCGTATCAATTCGGCAGGTCCCCTAAATATGGCCAACTTCAATAAACAAAGCTCACCAAAAGATCATTTATACTACAAAAGTGAAGCATTGAAGTATCGGTTACAGAGGATTGATGGTATGGCGCCATTTTTGGATGTAGCTTTTGCCAAAGCGGAAAAACTATGTGAACAACAATCGTTATCTTTGGCTCAAGAAAAGAACACAGAGTCAATGAGTAGATTGTCTATGTCCTCCGTTAGCTCACACGACAGTGGAACATTGACTACAAACAATACAAATAGAACTAGTGGCTCACAAGGTAGCAGTAGTAGTGTCACCGACAGTCTTTTAACTTTTACTGCTGGGGTACTACCACTCAATATAAGTGTTGATTCTGCAACTCAATTGTGGCAATTGTTTCAACAAGGAGCTCCATTATGTCTCATGTACAATCAAATCTCCCCCGATCATAAACTTGCAGTGGTGAGTTCTGATGATCAACGAGTTTGCAAAAAATCAGTCTACGAGTTTATCATTGCCATGAAGATGAATTTGAAATTTGAAGATGATGACCTATTTACCATATCGAATGTGTTTTCTGACAACACCCAAGACTTGCTAAAGATTATCAGTGTGGTTAATAAGCTTCTTGATTCGTTTGAGGAGGAGCTAAGTATCAGTGTTGACGTGCAAATCACCAATGAACGATCAAAAGTGTTTCGTGAAATTATAGAAACGGAAAGGAAGTATGTTCTGGACTTGGAGTTGATGGTGAGGTATAGAAACCAGCTAGCTGAAGCGGAATTACTTTCATCGGAACAGATTCACACATTGTTTCCCAACTTGAACGAAATTGTCGATTTTCAAAGGAGGTTCTTGAATGGACTTGAATGCAATATAAATGTGCCAGAAAGATACCAAAGAATAGGCTCGGTATTTATTCATGCAAGCTTGGGCCCATTTAAGACGTACGAACCTTGGACGGTTGGACAACTAACTGCGATAGAGTTGATCAATAAAGAGGCGGCAAATTTGAGAAAATCGTCCAATTTGCTAGATCCTGGATTTGAACTACAATCATATATCCTCAAACCAATCCAAAGACTATGTAAATACCCATTGCTTTTGAAAGAGTTGATAAAAGCATCACAAGAAACATTCAACTCCACAGAGGATCTACTGGATGCTGCATTTGCTTCGCATAATGAGCTTCTAGCCGCACAAGAGGCAATGAAGGAGGTTGCCAATCGAGTTAATGAGGCGCAAAGAAGAGCTGAAAATGTGGAATATCTACGCAAATTGGTGGAAAGAGTCAAGAACTGGCGGGGATTCAATTTGAAAGATCAAGGAGAGTTGTTGTATCATGGAATTGTTGGCGTACGAGATGCTGATACTGAAAAAGAATATGTAGCATACTTGTTTGAAAAGATTATCTTTTTCTTCATTGAGCAGGACAAGGATAAGGAGAAACATGAAAAGAAGTTTAAGTTGGGGTTGAGGAAAGCATCTGGTGCTGGGTTGAGCTCGTCTACGGCTAATTTACTCGAATCGATCAACAGTGGAACCAACGATTCAAGTCCATTGGAGTTGAAAGGTAGGGTGTATATCCTGGAGATATACAACATCAGCGCCTCATCAAACCATGGATATACCTTGGTTATTTCCTGGTCTGGGAAAAAGGAAAGTGGATCATTCAAGTTGCGATATCGAACTGAAGAAACTAGGAACCAGTGGGAACAATGTCTACGCAATTTGAAGACCAATGAAATGAATTACCATCTTAGCAAGAAGCTACGAGATTCGCAATCGTCAGTCAATACCAACGATTCATCAATTTACGACTACAATGGATCAAATAACACGAGTGCCGATTCACCGCAACAGTTTTACTCAGGACAACAACGTCATTACTCCTCTTCGTCAACATACAGCATGATGCAGCCAAATTCTCGTGTCAAGTCTGGTGAATTGTCGCGCATCTCATCTACCGGATCAAATTCAAACGCCCACACTTCAGCATCAACAACACCTTCATCCACATCGGCGCCCAACTTGCCCCTTTTCGACATCAAAGTGAAACTAATCTACAATAAATTAGAACTCCCCCAGCCACTAATTGTTTCCAATCAAACTCGATTCAATGAATTATATCAAAAGATATCGGCGATAATAGCCACTAGCGAATTAATCTCGAAGGATACTTTGGTGAGTAAATTACGGTACAAGGATGAAGATGGCGATTTTGTTGTTATGGATTCCAATGATGATTGGAATTTGGCAATTGATGATTTGGGTCAGGGCCGCAGTTTAACAATATGGGTATCGTAGAAGAACCATTTATATAGTTTTATATAATCCTCTTTAATAAGTGATCAATTAAATTTTTCGTCTGTAAAAAAACCAAAGCAAAACCTAAACAAATTAGAATAGCAATTTAAATTGATTGTTAGTTAACAAATGTTTTAGGACCACATTGAGAAATTGGGATAAAGTTTGGATTTGTATTCACATTTCCACACTACAACTCGCTTTTGGTAGTGAGGAAATAGACCAAGACCGAAGTTGATAACATCGTCGTGGCTCAACAACACCAAGAACTCGCTTTTGAATACAAACGTGGCTTGCTTATGACCACCTTTATTACCTTAGCATAACCAAAAGGTGCGCTGGTTTTAACCACCCCTTCCCCTCTCCCCCTCCCCCCCCCCAAACGTGCTTCCTTTTTAGTCACTCCTCGGAAAAAATAACTCCCCAGTTTAATTGGGTCAAAAAAAGCCACTGATTCAAGAAGCGAAGAAAGCCCCAGGTTTGTGTTGCAAGCGGGTACCCACAAGTATCTCGGCACCTAATAATCTGACGATCAAAAAGTGATTCAGTAATAAATATTGTGAGCCGTTTGAGGGGGGACTTAATGAAATGTATACGTGATAGACTAGTTAGTAGCTCTCGAGCCAACTGCCAAGTGCAGTGGCCGACTTTAGTTTTTTGTTTTGATGTTAGTCTGTTGGGGATCATAGGATTCAAGAAGATGTCTTGTTGAGTAATTGTATAATCTTTTACGAATCTTCAGACAGAGGCGTTGTCAATCGGCAAATCATAAATTACTGTAAACTGAGCCGATTCTAGAGTCCGCGTAAACGTATATTGATCGAGACAGCCTACTCTCTTGACCTCAAAGGTGACGGAACAGGCTGTAATCACTCGATCAGTACACAATTCAGCGGCCCGTTTTCGTCTTGTTACCTCAAAAGTAAAGTCTCATGGGAGTTAAAATGCAAGAGACTTCAAATCAAAGTTTGATGAATATTATTCCGACTAAACATTGCACCAAGTCAGTGATGTTATTCCAACTGTAACATTGTACCAAGTCAGTGTTTTGGTGATCACCTTTGAAATACATCGTGTTTTGACTCAGGCCATTAGTACTAATGGAATTATTTGTTACCAGCTTTGAATACACACTCAAACAGCTTTAGATCAACGCACTAGCTTAACTTCCACTCACAACAAAAACAAGCAGAAAAATAGTGATTGCTACGATTTCAAATCTTTCTTGATAAAATGCGGACAAGGGGGGGACTGTGTATGTCAAGTCTCGTTTTACGCGTAATCATATGTATTCAGTACAAAATATCGGATGTCGTTACATTCAGAAAATGAATATCAAATGTTGACAATTACATTATATACCAGGCTGATATATGTTCAAATAATCCTTTTGCTTTGCCTTCCTCAAATAGCACAATAGTGTATGCAGCGTTCATTAGCAAGTCACATTTGTCAGAAAACACAATTATTTACCAGCTAAGCAAAAGGGTGTATTCGAAAAAAATAACTTATCAAAGGAGGTGTGAAAGTTTATAAGCGTGTTATCACATAAAGGGATAGGATTTGTTCCACAAAACAAGGCGAATATTGTTGCGTAATAGATATTTCGGAAGTCAACCCGCTTTTGAGTAATAAAATTGCACGTTTTCAAACCTATAGTCATGTTCTAGATATCTCACTCACAATTGCATATTTGCCAGTCTCGCGTTATGAGAATAGCGGTTGTGGCGCCTCCTCATGCCTTCAATTTGTATTGGAAAGCTGATTGATTTGAACACACTTGTTCGAGTTCAACATCCAAGGACAAAGTGTTTTACACAAACAATGGCGACGTCCTTGTGGCGAACAAAAAGCAATCCGCAAAAAGTTTGCTCCTATAATTGCTACATTAAGTACCATTGACCGTCCTTTCTCGGTGACCCCGGAGTCTCTTTCTCTTTGCCCTCTTAATTGATGTCTCTCGTATCCCTTTTCAACTGAAACGTTTATCGTGAGTCACGCCCTGTATTGACAACACAAAACAAGCAAGACAAAGAGATAAGGATTACACTTTGGGGCTTTGTTTCTACGCCTGAGTGCAACCGTATACTGGGTCAAGAAAAATTGACGCCTTTTCTGAACAAGTTTGCGATTGGCAACCAAGAAAAAATATCCAAAAGACCCTTCATTTCCGAAGCGAAATGCAAATGGAGCTGATCAAGTACATGCAATAGACGTGTACAAGTGTTGAGCAATATTTGAATACAACACAGCGCTCAATTCCTCTCCCTTGATCGCGAGTGGCTTTACGTTACGTATCAATGTGGTAACAAAAAGGGTTTTTGCAATTACGATACAAAAAGCCCCGTATCAGGCTAACGACGATCTGACACAAAATCGAATATTCTATGTAGGATTGACGATCTTTTTATTATTGGAGCAACTTATACAGCCACCGAATACGTGGAGAACTAATTTTTTGATCAGCCCGTAATATAGACCTAGATTCAAACATTCAAGCTAACTTGCAAAAACAAACTATTCAACCTTGCTATGTTTCTTACTTCTCTTAGTACAGGCGACGGAATTTATACCTGCGGCGACACAGTTTAGAAGACGACGATAATGTCCACACTTACATAAGGCTCTTCCCAGTAAACGGCTCCAATTTGAACATTAATACAATTAGTTTAGATTAGATTTCGGTAACAAAGTTAAAAAAAGAAAAAAAAAACAAACTTAAATTCGTTTGCGTATTAAAACTTGAAATTTTGAGGTTTGGGTCGTATCTCGTCATAAGCCTCCACGACAATCTTCACCAGGCTAGAGTCCGCCCTTCGTCCCCTAACTACCTTGTTTCTTGTAATGTTTTTTATATCTGTCGATCGTTTTAAAAATACGTTTTTACACCATTTTGCATCAATTTCATGTGAAATTGAGATGCACTTGAGTCACTACACTTGATGTTATAAAGTATGTGAGAATAAAAATTGGCAAAAGAGAAAACGAGAATAGGGTCTCTACAGAGGTATCAGAAGCAAGCACTAACTGAACCCTTTCAACCGTAATAGCCACATCCCTTTTTTTCTTAAAAAGAAAATTTAAGCGACAGTGCGAACGTTTTAAAAACTTGGGATGATCAGCCGAAAACTTAGATCAGACAAAGAAAAAAAAAAAAAAAACAAAATTGAAAAGGGTTTAATTTACGTTGAGGATAGAAGCCAAAAGCCAATTTCATCTAGCTCATATGCTTACAACATGATATTACGCCGGTGGTAACTGCAGCCAACTGGGGCTAACGAGAAGCTGCCTCGAAAACGTTTGTCAGGGATGCCGTGTTTTGAAATTGGCTGCTTTTGGATTTAATTGATCCCAATCAGGGAGAGCTCAAGACAGGATTGTTGATGATTTTAATGAGTCTCCTTCGAAGCAAAACGAACTTTCGTGGTTCTTGCTATTTGCTTTTGGTATTTGCACTTGCAGAGACTCCTCACGAACAATATGCACTACTCCGTTTCACCGCCATAAAACTTTGCACATAGGTGAAATTTAGGTGAAATTTAGGTGAAATTTAGGTGAAGTTTATTACTCAAGCTGAGATATTTTGGAGAATCGAGATAGAATGAGATATAGTGCAATGAACGCTATAAAAGGGTTTAGCAATCGCACCGTTTTGGTACCATATCCAGTCATGCTCTCCATACAGCCAACTTGCAACAATTCAACATGAGGTTATTGAATCTTCAGTTGTTTGTCTTGCTTGTGTCTCCGATATATGCGTCGCTGACCTTTTTTCCAAATTCATTTACAGATTGCAGCCATCCGAACCCACCACCATTATGTGAGATCAAAAACTTGTATTGTGATAACATCCCCTTGCCAAAAACTACTAAGCTCACAGTGAATGCTGCTTTTGTTATTTCAGACGCTGTCAAGAATAGTGATAATAGTTATAGCCTTGTTGGTAATTATCAAGCTGAGGAGTACAATCAATTGTTTACCAACTTTGCTCAAAACGTTGATCAAATTTATGTCACTGGTACAGGTCTTAGTGATGCCACCATTTACAGCAGTAAATTGACCTCCAACCAAGCCACTAACCCCTTCCAATGGTCTTCCAAATTTAGCTGCAAGCCTCAAATCAAGAATGGTAAGTGTTGCTTGCCCGACGATTTTCAACTTTGGTACAAGTTTAAACAAGGGGGACCAGGGAGTGCAGCTATAAATGCTGTATTTGGTCAACCCCTTGCAAGCTACTACGTAGTTAGCCAAATATCAGGTACTGTTCAACCTTACGATCCAAACACTTTGTTTAGTCAGCAACAGACATTTCGGAAAAGAGATGATCAAGACAATGATGTCAGTGATATGGTAGAGTTTGATAAGAGAAGTGGGAATTCCTTGGTTACCCTTTTGCAAGGTTGCTCGGATGACTTCCACGGTATCAAACAATTCTGCTGGGATTGTGACTGTCCTCCATCATCCAGCTCCTCAACACCATCTTCATCAGAGCCACCTTCTTCATCAGAACCACCATCTTCATCAGAACCACCATCTTCATCAGAACCACCTTCTTCATCAGAACCTCCATCAAGTTCTGAACCACCTTCTTCATCTGAGCCACCTTCTAGTTCTGCACCCCCAAGCTCATCGGAATCACCAAGTTCTTCTATTCCACCATCTAGTTCTTCTATTCCACCAAGTTCTTCTGTTCCACCAAGTTCTTCTGTTCCACCAAGTTCTTCTGGACCAGCAAGTTCTTCTGGACCAGCAAGTTCTTCTGTTCCACCAAGTTCTTCTGTTCCACCAAGTTCTTCTGTTCCACCAAGTTCTTCTGGACCAGCAAGTTCTTCTGGACCAGCAAGTTCTTCTGGACCAGCAAGTTCTTCTGGACCAGCAAGTTCTTCTGTTCCACCAAGTTCTTCTGGACCACCAAGCTCTTCTGTTCCAGCATCAAACTCAGCTTCGTCTTATCCACCTACTTCCTCTGTTCCATCCGGTAGTGGAGTGGTTGAAACATCGACGATTGGCTCTACTACTGTTATAACGGTTACTTCCTGTTCGCATGACATTTGTTCAACCATAACTGAAACTACCGGGTTAACCGTCATCACTGAGGGCACTACTGTCTACACTACATACTGTCCATTGACAACAACAACGACGACTTCGACACCAACTAGCGGCAAAGGCAATGGAGCTGGAAATGGTAATGGCAATGGAGCTGGAAATGGTAACGGGTCTGGCTCTGGAAGCGGAACAGGAAGCGGTAACGCGGCAGGCCATGGAAATGGATCGGGATCTATCACTGTTATCACGGTTACTACTTGCTCAAAAGGTGGCTGTTCTACCATCACTGAAACTACTGGATTGACAGTCATTACAGAAGGTACTACAGTCTACACCACTTATTGTCCATTAACAACTTCGCCAACTAGTTCCACCACTATTGGTGGAGCTGGAAGTGGATCAGGAACAGAAGCTGGAAGTGGGTCAGGACCAGGCGCTGGAAGTGGAACAGGAACTGGAACAGGAGCTGGAAGTGGATCAGGATCAGGAACAGAAGCCGGAAGTGGACAAGGTAACGGACCAGGTAACGGATTAGGTAGTGGATCATCACCAGGAGCAGAATCAGGATCTAGTGCTGTTGGCGTATCAGAAACAGAATCCACTGCACCTCCAATCGGTCCAGGTCAAGGAAATGGTGTTGCTCCATCGGCTTCAACGCAAGTCACTTCAGCTACTCAACAGACCGTTTTGGCAGAATCAACATCATCTGAATCCAGTCCTCCTCAATTTTCACCACTTGTTGGTGACGGAACGTCTGTGAAGTTATCGATGGGAGGTGCGTTAGTCGCTGCTGTTGTTATGTTACTTTAAGCTTAACATTTGTTGACAATTTACATTTCGGTCTGTTTATTACGACAGTTTCAAGTTTCGGTACTTTCAGATAGTTTTACACTGTTTTCGGTTATAGTAATTTTGCTTTAGTTCAATATATTCGTGAGTTAAATTGTGTCAATCCATCTCTTTCTATTACGTCGTATAGAGAAGTGTATTGAAAAAAAAAAAAATAAAAAAAAACGCGTTTGGAGTGTTATTATACGACATCAACACGTGATTAGAAGAGGAGGAGAAAAAAACAAAAACGCAAAGTGAGAGAGTAAAAGATTAACGAGCTTAGCCTCATCAACAACCTATACCAATGTAATTTTTTTTTTTTTTTTGGTTTTGTTTTGGTTTTTTTTTAAACTTGGCAACATCATACGATAGAGTGCATAATTTCTTACATAAACCCATCGTATAGTCTTCCAACACACCACCAACCAGTGCCATAGGGTCCTTTATTTTCAACTATAAAAAGTAACTGGACTACTTCCTCAATCACCACTCGTTCAAATTACAACAGATCTCCTTACAGTATGGCTTTGATTGACTTGGCTCTTAATGGGTACAACTACTTCATGACACTCAGCACATTCCAGCAATTTGGTCTACTTGTGTTTATTCCATTTGCATACAACATAATCTGGCAATTACTTTATTCCCTTAGAAAAGATCGTGTTCCATTGGTATTCTATTGGATTCCATGGATGGGTTCAGCCGCTAGTTATGGACAAGATCCGTATGGATTTTTTGAACAATGTCGTGCAAAATACGGCGATTTGTTTTCATTTGTGATGTTGGGCAGGGTAATGACTGTATATTTGGGTCCCAAGGGCCATGAGTTTGTGTTTAATGCAAAATTATCTGATGTGTCTGCCGAGGACGCGTATCAACATTTGACTACTCCAGTGTTTGGGAAGGGTGTAATTTATGATTGTCCAAACTCGAGGTTGATGGAGCAAAAGAAGTTTGCCAAGACTGCTTTGACTACTGATTCATTTAGAAGATATGTGCCATTGATTAGAGGTGAAATTTTAAATTATTTCAAAAACTCAAAAGTGTTCAACATGAAGCAGCAAAAGAGTGGTGTTGTTGATGTTTTGCAAACACAACCGGAAATCACCATCTTTACTGCATCTAGGTCATTACTAGGTGAAGCAATGAGAAAAAGATTTGATGCTTCATTTGCTCAATTGTATGCCGACTTGGATAAAGGATTCACTCCGATCAACTTTGTGTTCCCACATTTACCATTACCTCATTACTGGAAAAGAGATGCTGCTCAGCAAAAGATTTCCCAAACTTATATGACCGAAATTGTTAAAAGAAGAGAGACTGGTGATATTGATGAGAATCGTGATTTAATCGATTCATTGTTGGTCAACTCAACCTATAAAGATGGTGTTAAAATGACGGACCAAGAAATTGCCAATTTATTGATTGGTGTCTTGATGGGAGGACAACATACCAGTGCCACTACATCTGCTTGGTTCTTGTTGCATTTAGCTGAACATCCTGAATTACAGGATGAGTTGTACCAAGAAGTTCTTCATGCATTGTCGGGTAAAGGTGGTAACTTGGATGACTTGTCGTATGAAGACTTGCAGCAAATGCCTTTAGTCAACAATACCATCAAGGAGACATTGAGATTACACATGCCATTACACTCCATATTCAGAAAAGTTGTTTCTCCATTGGTTGTTCCAAATACAAAATATGTTGTCCCCAAGGGCCACCATCTTTTAGTCTCACCAGGGTATGCTCATATAAGTGAAAGATTTTACAAAGACGCATCAGATTTCGATCCACACAGATGGGACGATGCAAACATTGCAAATGATGCAGGTGAAGTTGACTATGGATTTGGAAAAGTGTCCAAAGGTGTTAGCTCTTCGTATTTGCCATTTGGTGGTGGAAGACATAGATGTATTGGGGAACAATTTGCTTATGTTCAATTGGGCACTATCTTGACCACTTTTGTCTACAACCTCAAATGGAAGTTGGTTAAAGGTAAAGTGCCAGATGTTGATTATACCTCGATGGTTACTTTGCCACAACACCCAGCCGAAATTGTATGGGAAAAGAGGGACACCTGTGTGATTTAAGCTGCTGCATATGAATCATTATACTTTAATTATTTATAGAATCTAATCTGTCTGATGTAATAAAATGTTGCAGATGGTTTACTACTCAAGCGGCTGACTCACCGTAATTGTTTGCCGGAACCGGAATCATCATTAACCGATTGTTCAATTTTCCTTCCTATTTTTTTTCTTTTTTCTTTTTTCTTTTTTCTTTTTTCTTTTTTCTTTTTTCCTTTACTTTAGAAATTTTTCACCAAACACAATAGACAATTAATCATTCACTGCTTGGGTCGCTCTCATGACAGCTAGCTCATTTCAAATCAAAGTTCCGGCATCTTCTGCAAACATAGGACCAGGATTTGATGTACTTGGTATTGGTTTACAGTTGTACCTCACTATTAAGGTGACGATTGACCCTTCAGTCGACACTTCATCTGATCCACATAATGCCATCATCACATACGAAGGTAACTTGGCGGAAAAAGTGCCGTTGCAATCAAACAAAAACTTGATTACTCAAACTGCGTTGTTTCTACTTCGATGTAATGGGGTGGACAAGTTCCCACTCGGAACCCACATTCATGTAGCTAATCCTATACCTTTGGGACGAGGTCTTGGCTCCAGTGCTAGTGCCATTGTTGGAGGCGTTTATTTGGGAAATATCATTGGGGATTTTAAATTTGACAAGATTAGAATGTTGGACTATTGTTTAATGATTGAAAGGCACCCTGACAACATTGCTGCTGCCATGTTGGGAGGATTTATTGGATCATATTTGAATGAACTAAATGCAGTCGAGACTGAACAAACTACGGTGCCTCTAGACTATATCTTGCCCACGCTGCAAACTTCACCTGACGCAATTGTATCACAGCCACCACCTCAAAACATTGGAGAATACTTGCAATACAATTGGAATAAGAAAATCAAGTGTGTCTGTATTGTGCCCAATTTCGAAGTCAGCACAGACAAGTCTCGTGCCGTTCTTCCGCAATCATACACTAGACCAGACATTGTTTACAACCTACAAAGAATAGCCATCTTGACAACAGCATTGACTCAAGATCCACCAAATCATAAATTGATTTACCAATCAATGAAGGACAAAATTCACCAACCGTATAGGACAGTTTTGATACCCGGGTTGGACCAAGTATTAGAGGAAGTTGTTCCTGCCAAGCATTCAGGATTGTGTGGCATATGTCTCAGTGGAGCTGGTCCTACTATTTTGTGTTTAGCAACTGAGGGATTTGAAGAAATTGCTAAAGATGTCATTGACATTTTCAGCAAAGAGGGCATTCACTGTGATTGGAAACTACTCGACTTGGCTTATGACGGGGCAACTGTAGAGCATTTGTAAAAAGGGCGATTCTGACTATGTTTATAGAACTTTTATACAGTGATATTCATAAACACTAACAACTGCGTTATGTCTTCCTGTAACGTTAACCGCCCAATGAGCGAACATTGCGCAATATCGGAAACAACGAAAAAAAAAAAAATAAAAAAAAAAAAAAAAAGGAAAGCTCTCACACACCACAAAACACCTAGAGCACCACCAACCACCGTAAGTAGTTGAGCAAACCAATTGTCTTCCCTCTCGCTACTGCCCCTGACGATGACGCTGTTACAAGTGGATAGCAATCCTAATCTCAAAACAAAACTCATAGAACAAGATGTCTTACAAGAATCCCAATTACAGCCGGTGTACTTAACCAGAGTTGAAGTCAATGGCGGTGAGGATTTCAGCTACCAATTCTTCAACAAGTTGTTATCGCCATTGTTAACTACTGGCGATTATACGTTATCCGAATTGACTTCACGAATCGGTCAATCATCGCAGCATCTAAAGGACACTGGAGTCTTTAAGGATGTGGGAGTTGTATTGGAGCCCGACTATTATTCAAACGTTCCAGCAAACATTACTCGATTCAACAGGGAATTGTCTATCCCCGCCAAAGTCATCTTTGATGTTTCTAATGTCAACTTAAACACTAATCAATCCTTCTTCAACTTCAATTCCGAGGAGTATATCAATTTAAAAGTAAATCATATTGACAATAATTTTAATGAAAATGCCGAGTTGGTTGCTGTTGGCGTCGACTACAATCCTTATAAACCATATGACTACTTGTTAACAAACTTGAAATTCATTTCCGGCTTGAAAGATCCAAGATTCAAGTTTGTATTTGACGTGGGTCACAATACTAGAGACAATCTTGGTTGGCAAAATTTCTTCAAACAGAATCAATTGGGTGGTAAAATCGGTCTCCTTTACAAAACACAGCGTGAATTTGATATTTTCACCGGGTTCCAATTACTCAAGAGAAACTTGTTTGACATTGATGATGGGGCCCATGACGACTTGAAATTCTTTGGTGGAGATTTCTTGAAATTGAGTGTTTTGAATAAATTCAAATACGAAAGTATTGGATATTTGAATCATGCAACAAAGAACTTCCCAATCAATGGTGGTAGAATACAAACTGAATCTGAATTGTCGTCAGTGCAAGAACAAAGTAACGCATCAAGCCGAGGTGAATTTATCAAACTGAAAGTTGGATTTGATTTGTATAAATCGATATTCAACAATTACATCACAACAAAGTTTCAAGGAGAGCTTGGTGGGATTTTCACTCTCAATTCCAAATTCCCCATACATCCATTGGACAAGTTCTATCTTGGTGGGTATAATTCGTTTGCCGGGTTCAAGAAAAACAGTATTGAACAACAAGGTGGATTACAATTTTACAAATTGCAAGCAACATTATACACCAAGATCCCTCAATTCTTGTACTTGCCTAAGTTGAATGCCGAAAATAGCGAGTTGTTGGTGGAACTGAACCCATTGAGATTGTACGCCACTGGTATAGTGGGAAACTGTATCCCTACACAAAAGAATTTCTTTTGGAATGATGCAAACCCAGCGGTGTCGTATGGGTTTGGATTAAAGTATTTTAACCGTTGGGCTAATTTTGACATTGGGTACTATGTTAGTCAGAAGGTGGGAATTGACAACTTTGATGGAGTTAAAAATGGGTTACACTTTGCAGTCTCCATTGGTGCATCATCTAGCTAGATATATGAGAGGAGTATACATATATGTATGTATATATATATATATTAGACAACATAGATGTTAGAAGGAGATACTGTGGTAGCTCTAAACCTTTTTGTGCCATCTTCTCAGTGCGAGCTATTATGGGAACGGAAAAACCTCCATAGTCGGTCGTTTGTTGTGATTTCAATTGCATTCACTCTAGACGTGTTCTTCTCTGCACCAAGCACAATCTCTCAACATGGGAGTCAACGGTTTGCTACAGCACCTAAAGGAGATTCAGGATCCGTGCTCCTTGGAACGATATCGCGGCAAGACCTTGGCCATAGACACATATGGGTGGTTGCATCGCGCGTTGGTATCGTGTGCCGAGGACCTTTGCTTAGGTAGACCAACACGCAAATACGTTACATACATCATCAACAAGATCCAAATGTTGCAGCATTTTGGCGTCACTCCATTCTTTGTATTTGATGGTGCCTCATTGACAACCAAAGGAGAAACAAATCTTAAGAGACGTGAGATGAGATGTGAAGCCAAAAAATTGGCGGAAAAGTATGCTGGATCGGGACATTTGCAGTTGGCATATAAAGAGTACATGAAGGCAGCGTACGTCACTTCTCAAATGGCCAAACTGATCATGTGTGAATTGGATGTGATGAAAATACAGTATGTCGTAGCGCCATATGAAGCAGATCCACAAATGGTTTATTTGGAAAAAATCGGTATTGTTGATGGGATCTTGAGTGAAGATTCAGATTTGCTTATATTTGGCTGTAATAAGCTAATAACTAAACTAAAAGACGATTCAAGCTGTGTTGAAATTAATCGACACGATTTTGAAAAAGTTCGACAAATTCCTTATTTGGCCACTTATACCAGCGAACAATTGAGATTAGTTGCAATGCTCTCTGGTTGTGACTACACAAAAGGTGTACCTGGAGTTGGCCTTAAATCTGCATTTCAAATGGTACGAAGGTATCGTACTTTGCATAAAGTCACAATTGCACTAAGATCCACGGGCAAGAAAATACCGGCTGATTTCGAGCACGAAGTGCTCAAGGCCGATTTAGCATTTCAATTTCAAAAAGTTTTTGATCCAAGGAGACAAGTGCTCACTACGTTGAACGAAGTTCCAGAGCCGATTTCTGAACAAGTAGAATTACTTGAATCATGTTGCGGTAAGACTCTTGAAGCAGAATTGGTGAAGAAGGTGTGTAATGGAAAAGTTGATCCCAATTCACATGAGACACTTGTATCTCGAGAACAAAGCATCAATTTGTTAAAGTCCGTTTCAGTTAAAGTGAATGCAACCTCCTCTGAGACACAAGTAGCGATACGGTCTCAATCTGAACCTGTTGTTAAAAGTCAAAGAAAATCTGTTTTGGATATGCTCAAGGTTTCCAAGCACGTTGCGAAACCTACCGGGCTAATCAACGAACCAACTCAGAGGGACAACACCCAGATTAACAAAAATAAAATACCAACATTGAAACGCCCGCTACCCGTGAATGAAGCACCACGAAAGAAAAAAGTATCACCAACCTCGAATAAGATTCGCAAATTGCAAGGTAGTATCAGTGGTGAATCCGGTGTAACCAGCAAGTTCTTCGCTGCACAATCAACAACACATGAAAACCCAGAATTACCTACTCCTAAATCAGATTGTGATTTGTCTGAATGGAATTCAAGCTTACTTGATGATTCAGAAGTGCCTGATGAGTCACCAATCAAGAACCTTGACACGGGAAACATTTTGGATGAGTTGACCGAAGATGACAACGACATGGGGGATAAGCAGAGTGCAACCGATGAGGAAAACGTCAGTATTGATTTTGATCCAGTCGTTGACTCATTGAATTCGGATCCAGCGACCCGACATAAAACATCTTATCCTCCTTTAGAAGATGATGATGAGAATGCCAAGTTTGACCTTTCTTCCAAAGATGATGAAATAGAGGAGTCCCCGGTCAAGCGAAGGGTGTCCTTCAAAGTACACAAGGATATGGCAGTTGAAAATCTTCGACTGAAGTTTCAATTTCTGCCTGCAAAACTCGCTAAATTCACCGATCCAACCAAGAGTCAAGCAACGACGAACATTAAGTTGGATAGGATGCATTCAAGACCAGCGTTGACGGATAAGAGCACAAACATTTCTCATCTGAGCACAAAGGGGATATTAAAAAAACCAGCAACCACTCTCTGTGGTATATCCAAGTCAGCTATGCATGGCAAGGCTGTCAAGTTTGCATCGAACAATTCATTCCCCAAAGTTCAAATTGCATCCAGTCAAGAGGATGAGTTTGAAATTAGTGAAGATGAGATTAGTCCAAAGAGGTTCCCCAAGAGACGAACTCCCTTTATCGATCTCAAACAATTTGCATTTAGAAAATAGACTAGAATTAAACGTAATTTATTCGATGGCAATATATGTCTATTAATTAGTAACCTCTTAAAAGGCACGCTCCGATTGCCAACCTTGTCAATTGCCCTTGAAGATTTTCCTCAGAACTAAAAGCTGCATCATTCAATTTGTAAATCTTTTTGAATTTCGACACATCAACCAACTCCAACAAGACCTCATCGGAAATTGCCACACCTTCTCCACCAACTATATCACCTAATTCCCTTTTAAACGTAACAATATCTTCATCCAGCAGCACTACCTTCACTACAATCACGTTAGAACAGTCATCCAGTATACCGAAACGTTTAATTGCCTCAGAAATCACATTGACTGGTGATAAATTCAACAATATTTCCGTATTCAACGTCTTTGCTTGCATTGAATTGTGCTCAAGATGTAGAATAGACTTATGGATTGAGTTTTGTAGCTGCTCTAAGGAGATTATATACTTGGTGTTCAAAAAACAGTAGTCATATTTAGGATTTGCTTGAATGAGCTGTTCCTTGATTGTTTTTAGGTTTTCTTCAGGTACATCCTTGAAAAGGCTTATGAGAGCCTTGCGTTGTGGAAATTGTGGGAATGAGACAGCTTGCACGAGTGGCATGGTCATATGGTGCAAGTTTCAATTTGAGTAAATATGGGATGGATGGATGGATGGATGGGGCTATCTCTCTGGGTTGTTGGTGATGCTCTCTAAAATTATGCTGAAATACCTCAATTCTTGATTTCGCGAAATTTGTGGTGAGATTATCCCACTGGGCCCCAGTTTCCAACAATCCAAACTGCTCTCGACAAGACTTTCATCATGGCAGCAGATATGTCTGGTCAAGTTGACGTACCGCATCTACTAGGCACTTTATTCAAAGATGTAGCTGACCCCATCCAAACCGAACAGGAAAGGGATCTACGACTATACCCAGAGACAATTTTGCAAAAATCCGAAAATGGCAACAAGCTCTATGCTTCGTTTCAAAGATATTCACCGCAGTTTATCAAAGCTGTAGATGACCTGGAGAAGAAGCAAGTTTTGCGATGGCGAAGCTCAAATACAGAGTCAGCTCAGAGAATAATACTTGATAGCTGGATAGCTCAAAATTCAGACGTGGGCTCAACCACAACTAAAAATACATCTAAATTACCAACCTCGATATCATCCAAAGGCAGAGCTAACAAACTCTTTGTGTGGTCATCTAGCGACTCCTACATTGAGGAGAAAAAGAGGCAACTACAGTTACGGAAAAGTATCGAGGGGATATCGTCACAGCCAGACAAACCTGACAAGTCTTTAACTGACAAAGAAGAGAAGCCAGTTGAGCATGATACCAAGTTGGAAGCTCTACAGCAGCAATTACACTTGAAATTGTCTACAGATAGAATAAACAATAAACTTTCTAGAAAGATTGAGAGTGAGGCCAATCGATTTATTCATGCACGAATACAAAAAATACGAAACCATCATAGTGAGCAGATGATGAACCAAATCAATGAACGTAAGAAGAAAGACCATGAAGTGTATTTGCAAAGACTTAAAATCAAGGAAGAAGAATATGAAAAATCGATACGACAAGATCAGGAGCAAGTGGCTGGTGCAAAGAAGCTTAATTTTTTCGGTAGTTTATTTGGTCTTAGTGGTGGCACGATGTCACCAAGTGCAGAGCCTGGAAGTCCAATTGAGGTAGAAGGTCAAGTGACAAAGAACGGTACAAAAACTTTCTCAAAGGGCAAACGATCAACCTTGTTTGGTATGCAGTCATTGTTTTCTAGCGGCAATGGTTCCAAAAAGCATGTGGACAAAACGGTTATGTTTGATGCTGAAGACAAATCAGACACCCAATCCATTGCCGGCTCAAATATATCGACGAATGCGAATTTAGAGGGAGGCGAGTTAGCATCAGCCACAACCTCTGATTCCGCAACTCACTCAGACACAAAGACGCTGGAGATACGTGTACCTTTATTTAATGTTGACGATTTAGAGTCATTGGAGATGAAACGATCTCCTCAAAAGTCAAACCGGTTAGACGTGGTGGGACATAATGGAAGCCCCAGTAAAGGCCGCAATGAGGCAGAAGACTCTGACGATGATTTCACTGAATTTACCGCAGTGACGGAGGCCACTTCGGAGAACAATCTGGTATCATCACCACCGATTCTAGCACCGGTGCCGAAACTATCGCGTAATTTCTTCTCGGTGGAAAAGGCAAATGCTAATGCTACGCCCGCACTTTCGGGAAATGAGTTGATTGATTTGTTTGATACAAATGCACTGCGGCCTGACTCACTGGGTATAGAGACACCCGCTCCTCTATCCCAACTGCAAGACAAGATGGATGTTAATTTATTGGAATTGTAATTGACTTCTTGATATTTGCCTTGTGTGTCCTGTATACAAAACAAGCGTATTGCATCATGCGCTTCCACCACCAAAAAATCTTTCACTTCACACTTCTCACTCTCTTAGTAATTGCAGTTCAGTACAACAGAAACCTAAACTTCCTTTATCCACTTGTATATACTCTGTGCAATGTTAACCAGGCTAAAAGTACCCCATTTGAGTCGAAGTGGTGCTTTGAAAAGACTATATGCGACGTCATCATCATCATCATCATCATCAACAGCAATATCTACCAAGCCCGATATTGAAATGACAACCCTCGCCAACGGACTAAGGCTAGTCACCGATTCCACACCAGGACATTTCAGTGCACTTGGAGCCTATGTTGATGCTGGTTCGCGGTATGAAGATCCACAAAATCCAGGACTTTCCCACATACATGATCGATTAGCTTGGAAATCAACGGAGAAGTATAGTGGATTACAAATGATGGAGAATCTACTGAAGTTGGGTGGTAATTACATGAGCTCGGCTCAGAGAGAGTCGATGATTTTCCAAGCCAGTGTTTTCAACAAGGATGTTGATCAAATGATGGAGGCTATCGCGCAAACCGTGAGAAGTCCTCGTATTAGTGATCAGGAGTTTGTTGAGACTTTGCAAACTGCTGATTATGAGGTTCAGGAGTTGCAATATAAGCATGAGTTGTTGTTGCCTGAAGAGTTGCACTCGGCGGCATACAAAGAAAACACATTGGGGCTTCCATTATTCATACCTAAGGAGCGTATTCCGTTGGTGCAGAAATCGGATGTTCTAGCCTATCACAAGAAGTTTTTCCAACCGCAAAACATTATAATTGCCATGGTTGGTGTACCCCATGACCACGCACTCAAGTTGGTTGAGTCGAATTTCGGTGATTGGAAATCCACTGGCGAGAAAACAAAGCTCACCCTTGCAAACTATACTGGAGGAGAAATATCATTACCTCATCAACCTCCACTTTACGCCAACCTACCGGAATTGTATCATATGCAAATCGGTTTTGAAACCACGGGTTTACTTCACGATGACTTGTACTCGCTCGCCACTTTGCAAAAACTCCTCGGTGGTGGATCCTCATTCTCAGCTGGTGGGCCAGGTAAGGGAATGTTTTCTCGTCTCTACACCAAAGTTTTAAACAAGTATCCCTTTGTTGAAAATTGCATGTGCTTTAATCACTCGTACTTGGACTCGGGAATCTTTGGTATCACGTTGAGCTTGGTGCCAGAAGCGGCTCATGTATCGTCACAAATAATCAGTCATGAGTTGTCGAAACTATTGCAAGTTGATTCCAAAGCGGGTGGATTGAATGAACAAGAAGTCAAACGTGCCAAGAACCAATTGACAAGTTCTATTTTAATGAATGTCGAAAGTAGGTTAGCCAAATTGGAGGATTTAGGAAGACAAGTTCAGTGTCAAGGTAAAGTCACTTCTATTGATGAAATGGTTGAAAAAATCACGGCGCTAACCCCAAGAGACTTGCAAAATGTAGCAGAGAAGGTGTTGACGGGTAATGTTGTCACCAGTGGCACAATCTCGGGTGTTCCCTCCGTGGTTATGCAAGGTGAAAGAGAAGCATTTGGTGATGTTGAGTACATTCTTCGGAAATACGGGTTGGGGAAATTCTCTACCCCTGAGATCCCTGAACCAAGAGATTTTTCACAACCAAAGAGGAAAACATCATGGTTTTAAAGGGGAGGGGTGAGGAAGTGTGTGTTTGATTTCTTGTATATACAATTTGCAGCTTTGACTAGATTTGTAAAACCTTTCTATTACTATTACAGTTCTCTATATTTTCTGTTTTTTTTTTTTATATAATTGTCTCTACGACATGCTCAATCTTTCCCTCAATTCCAAGTTTTCCTTCTGCAACATTAACATTGATTCCTTCAATTGATTATTCTGCTCCTCCATGTTTTTCAATTGCAAATCCTTTTCAATGTTTTCATGATCCAACGAATCAACAGCAACTTTGTAATGATTGATTTTGTTTTGGTAATCGAAATTTTCATCATTATAGCGTTTACTCAACTGCGATTCGTGTTCAACCCTCGTCTCCAACGACTTGATTTTCCTCTCCAAAGATTTGATTGTTTTGTCAGAATCGTGTTGCTTCTGTAATGAACTATCCAAAGCTTTTTGTAATGAGTCGGCTCTAGATTCCAAGTACTTGATTTGGTCATTGCTGTACAACTTCTCCTCCAATTTGTGAACTTTTCGATTTAATTCTTCGTTGGCTTTCTTGAGAGAGTAATTCTCTTCATTGGACACAAGTAGGTCGTTTCTAATCTTTTGTTGATCACGGTAATCCGAAGTCGATGACATTTTCGACTGGCTCAACTCCGACCTCACTGCCTCTGCATCTTGACGTTGGTTTTCCAAGTGGTTTTTGAGGAAGGCCACTTCAGATTTACTTTGATCTAAAGCAACAGTTTGATTTTCAAGGTTGAGATTGACCTTGAACAATTCGTCCTGTAATCGCTCCCTTTCATCTATCAATCTCTCTTTCTCTTGGGTCACCTCACTAACCAACTCCTTCAAACCAGTGATTTGTTTCGAATAGGAAGCAATTTTGCGTTCATTCAAAATCTTGTCATTTTCAAGTTGCCTCAGAGAGTTGGTTAAATTGATTATTTTTTGTTCCAATTCCTCTTCTTGTAACAGCATCTCCTCCATTTCCTTTTGGATGTTGTTTCTAACCAATACTGCTTCTTCAAGATCCAACTGAAGCTTCTTGTTTTCCTTCACCAACGTAGTTTCCGTCTGCGTCTTGAAGTTCAAATCTTTGTGCAAGTTCCTCAACTCCTCTTTCAACTGTTCTGTCGTTTCTCTATTTTCATAATTCTTGACATGATACGCCAACTTCTCCTCCAACTGTTTAATTTGTATCTTGTTGTCATCCATTACACGTGCATTTCCCAGAATTGTTTGTTCCAAACTTTCAATTTTTGAATTGCAGTCCTTGAGCATGATTTGCGAGGTTCTCGCCTCTTCCTTTGCCAACCTCAACTGACTTCTCAACTCATTCACTTCTCTCCGCGCCAGTTCTTCTTGATGTTTGGATATGGTGACAGCAGACTCAGCCAACTCCAATTTCTTAAAATACTCATCAGACCGCTTCTTGTACAACTCCAAGCCGTGAATCAATTCCTGGTTTCGAATGGAAACATTATCATGCTTTACTTTCAAATGTGCAATTTCCTCTTCAAAGTTCTTCATCGAGCTCTTGAACTTTTCGTGCTTCACTTGATACAACTCATCCTCTGACTCCCTGAGCAAAGCCTTCAACCGTAAGATCTCCGCTTTAGAGGTACCCAATTCGTCACGAGTAGATCTTAAAGTCTTGTTGATGTCTTGATACATTTGAATAAAATCTGCGCTAACCCCCTTGAATGCGAGTTGACCACCAAAACTTTCGCTTCTTGACACAGTCCAATCGTTTGAAGGAGAGCTTTCTGCGCTTGTTGAATCATTAGAAATGATGCCCTCAATTTGCTTTTCGAGATGAGCAACTCGCCCTTGGGAGTCTTTAAACTTCTTCTCATAATCGGTTGAGCTATTCAAACCACGACTCGATTGCACCTTGTTCAATTTTTTCTGCAACTCGATAGCATAATTTTCGGCTCGCTGATAATTACTTTGTTCCTGTTGTAATCTGAATTTTAAATTGTTAATTTCCTTGTTCAAGGCCTCCACACTACCAGTTACCCTCTCGCCTATAGCTAGAGATCTTCTCTTTGGCGTTATATCACTGCTCGTCAAAGAACCATTCATAATCCTCTCCTTGATTAGACCCAATTCCTCAATCAATTTCTTATTCTCGAATTTCTCTTTTCTCAATGCTGCATTCTGCTCATTCAATTTCAATTTCATATGAGTGAATTCCTCCATTATTTGACGATTTGGAGGTTGGTTCTCCTTCTCCAGTTCAATCGATTTATAATCTTGCTCAAGTCTTTGCAATTTACCATTCATCTCGGACACCATTGAACTGTACTCATCTCTAGCTTTCTGAGCTTTTTGTAATTCAAACTTGAGTTCCTCATAATCATTGCTGAGTTGTTTGTGATTGGTAGTTGATTCGGAAAGTTTGGACTGCATCATTTCAATCTCTCGTAAGCTGCTTTCTTCCTTGGATTTGATTTGTGATAATGTCATCTCAGTCTGTTTCAGTGACTCCAAATCTCGCTTTGTTGTTGACAATTGCAACTTCAATGAATCCACCTCCTTTTGTAATCGATCTATTTCACTCGACTTGCTTTCAACTCTCAGCTTCAATACCAGGACTTTCTCCTTAGCTTCTTCAATCTTTTCTTCGTACTTTGACTTTTTCAATTCATCTTTGCTCATTTGAGATTTCATCGACTTGATCTCTTCCCTTTGTTCAGCATACCGTTTTTCCAATTCCAGGATGGTTGATTTTAAGGCGGCGATTTCTTGCTGGTATTTACCTTCCGCCAGCACAAGCTTTTCGTGAGTCGATGCCTTTGCGGTCAAATCTCGAACCTTCAGTTCATGATTAGAAGCTTCCAGCTGTAACCGTTCAACCTCACTCTGCAACTCTTTGATTTTGCGCTCCCAGGTGGAAGTCTGCCTTTCGTGCTTGCTTTCCATTTCATCAAGTTTTGAAACGTGTTTCAACCTTTCCGATTCAACTTTCTCAAGTTGAACTCTCAATTTTGTCAACTCACTCTGAGCAGAGCTGTGCTCTGTTTGCCTCAGAGCCAATTCTTTCGACCTGGCTTCGAAATCATTGTGCAACTCTTTCAAACGATTGCTCAATTTTTTCAGGTCATTTGTTAAAACACGGTTAGATTCCTTCAACTCTCTGATGGTTGTTTCTAACTCCTCTATCTTTTTCTTGGAGTTCTTACTCTCAGTGTGCAAGGTTTGCAATTGATGATCCTTTTGTTTAATGATGTCATTGTTGGCCATTATTTCGTCCTCTAATGTTTTTAAAGAATCGCGCAATTTGACATTATCATTCTCCAACCCCTTATTCAATTTTTCAGAATCCTTCAATTTGACAGTTACCTCTTTCAAGTTGTTTTGCACTTCAGCCATATCCATAACTTGAACTGACTCCTCAAGTAAAGGCTTCATTTGATAAAACAATGTCATCCACGGGTTATTGGTTTTCGCTTCGTAAACCTGGTTCATTGTCTTGGCTATTATCCGTGAAGATTGAAGCTCTTTTATCTGCTGACGTATATTGACCCTAGTCATATTGCCCCGAATACGTCTTTGTAAATCGGTCAAGATTCCCTTCAATGTGATATCCCGTTTTGTCTCCAACTTACCTAAAATACCATTTTTGAAAAAAATTTTGGTAAGTCCGATCTTGAACGTATCTTGACTCAAACCAGATTCTTTCAATATGAGTTCGCAATTGGTCTTTGTATTCTTTGTCATTTGAAAGTTATCACCGATGATCGAATACCTGTGGAAGAACTCATCAAACGTCAATTTGTTTGGGTATCCTGCACGTGTGATCCTGATACCTTCCAAAACACCATTACATCTTAATTGGCTAAGCACTAGATTTCTATCAAACTTCCTTGCCTTTTTATCCAAGTTGGGCAAAATGCATCTAACAAAATGAGGCTCAGTTGTCTCCAATCGATCCATTAAGTCCTTCAATTGATTTTTATGTTTCTGTGACACCGTTTGCATCATCTTTGGTCCGTTTGAAGTCTTCAGTGGCAGTGCTTGCAGCTGTTGATTGTAACTTGTTTCATCACTCATTAATTCTCGAAGGGCCTTGTTTTTGCTTTCAGAAAGGAGCAACTGCAAAATTCCATCACTCACAGGGTCCTTGTTCTTTTGCAACCAGTTCTCTACATTATACTCAACCTTGCCGGCATAATGTTGAACAATAAATCCATTTTTGAACTTGTTCTCGGAAAATTTTTTATTCTTGCCAGCAAAATTAGCACTCAACTTGTCCATAAACATTTTGTCTGACGATTTGGGCATCATGCATTCTTCATCAAGTAACTTTAAAATCCCCATTGGGGTTCTTTTTTCGATAAGATCAATAGTTGGTTGCAAATCTTTGCCGAAATCAATAAATTCCCATTGGATATTCTCTCGTAGATATTCACTCTGCTCTAGTATGAATGAATGGTGGTTGAAAAACTGTTGGAGCTTTTCATTTGTATAATTGATACATAACTGCTCAAATGAGTTGCTGTCAAAGATTTCAAATCCGGCTATGTCTAGCACTCCGATGTTTAAATCTCCCAGGCTAAACTCATCACTATTCAAATTCAAGTTGATCTTCTTTATAATGAGTTGAAACAACTTTTCATACAAGTATTTAGCCAATGCATCTATGGCAAATTTAACTTCTGCTGCCTTTTTGGATTTGGTAACAAACTCTCTCCCAGCCTTGACTTTTGGCTTCAATAAACTTTCTTTTAACTTGGAAACATCCACTGTCAAAAGTTCGGCAATCTTGTCAATTGGAGAGTCTTTGGTGAAGCTAGCTTGCTCGGCCTTCCAGGAAGTGAATTGCAAATTTCCCAAGTGCAAAATAATAGCCAAGATTTGAAATATAAATTGCATCTCTTGTGAAGAAAAACCAACAGTCTTGAACGCCTCTACGAGCAAGTTGAATTCCTTGAAATCGTCAACGTTGGGTATGCTAGTCACCCCCTTGTTCAAATACTCGTATGTTGATACATCTTTGTTTAACCCGAGACTAGACAAACCCTCGTACCCTTTGATAAAGTGGTAGAAAATATGGTAATTTCTCTCCTCCTCGGCTTGGTGTACCACTCTTGATTTTTCCAACAAGTAGTAATCAATATTTGCTCCAGCCAAGTCCCCAGCGGAATCGAAATATATTTGGATGAATTTTCCAAACCTTGATGAGTTGTTATTCTTTATTGTTTTTGCGTTACCAAAACTTTCCAAAATTGGGTTTGCTTGCAATATTTTGTCATCAATGTGATCGGTTTTCGACGTGTTGTCATCATTCAGTGATGCTGTGGATATAGATGAAAGGTATTGGATAATCTTTTTGGTGTTTTCCGTTTTACCGGCCCCCGATTCACCAGTGACCAATATACTTTGATCCCTCTTGTTGCTTAACAAGTTTCGATACGTTGCTTCAGCAATGGCAAATATATGCGGCGATTCCTTATCCGTGGGCTGATTACGGAATTTTCGTACCATGGAATCATCGTAAATTGGCAACAGTTTATAAGGGTTGATGGCCACCAAGAATAAACCCGAATAAGTATAAATCAAGTCATCCATATACCGCAAATACAAATTGTAGACAACTGATGGCTCATTTAAATGCGTGAGTTCGGCCATATCTTCACATTTGTTGAACTTTTCAGGATTGCAGTTTTCTAATTTTGATTGGTCAATTTCAACATTCGACTCGACATGGTTGGTATTATCGAGAGAGACAACCGATACTGCACATCTCCCATTTCCTAGGTAGTCTGTAATGTATCCTTTCGTGAATAGGTCTTTATCATTGGGTACCCAAACCCAATTTTTGAGTGTAGAATCACCATCGGACTTGGTTGACATGGAAGTTTATTACTACTGGACTTTGGTGTATGGAAAAGATGTTGACTCGCGAGGGGGGGGCAAGATGTTATTGAGTGTAGGACAGTTTCTCCGTCTTGTCGAGTTCTAGGTGCAGATGCAAGTGCAGATAATAAAGGGGGGGTGTTACTTCTGTGACGATGCAGTTAGTCAGTTATCTGATGGCTATTTAAAAGCTACAACTTACTTTAAAGGAGACTAAGAGATTGAAGAAAGAAAAAAAATAAAAACAGTTACTATCCTGCATATAAATGTATGTTTACCTTTCATCCATTTTAGGAAACAAAATGCGTCTCCCAAAATACACACTGGTATACGAGACTACCCCCAGCAAGTATACATTTACAGGGAAAGAGGCTTACTGTAAACCTTCTTGTTGCACGCGATGCAACAACAGAGTAATACCAACATACAAACGCACTGCATTTGACTCAATATTTTGTTCAGGAAAATAAATTTTCTTCTTTCAAAAACCCACTAAGACGCGTTCTTAAATGTGCATTTTCCCAATCAATTTTTTTTTTTTTTTTTGCAGCAATTTATTTCCAAAATTTCGCTGCAACAATTACATCAACATGCCACACTCTAAGTGAAGATATTTTTCGGCCGTCGTCCTAAACGTCTCAGAAGTGTTAAGAAACCTCATCCTTCATTCGATGACGAATAGAGCAGAGCACATTAGAATTCGAGATATGTGAATCAATAAGTCAAGGATAAACAATAGGTATATGAAAACTACACATGCGTGCACTATGAATAGAACTAAATCATTAAAAACATTCGTAAAAACAGTGACTCGAGTTCCTTATACATCAAAAGTACTGATTCATCAATGGGGAACTTGCATTCAAAGTAGTGCTGGCACCGTTACTCACAACAGGCTTTATTGGGGAAAAGTTCTCCTTTGATCTCACTTCGTGCCCCATTCCAACCGTCGGCAACACTGGCGGAATCATGACTGATGGACCACCACTGCCAGCAGCAGTATTGATGCTCGTAGCCGATGATTGCATCATAGCGCGTTTCTTTCTGATTTTTGATTTGGTTCTACTTAGCAGCAGTTGCAGCAGACCCATCATGACAGTCGGATGCAGCATCTGTGATTGCTGTGATTGCTGTGCAGAAGTTGACGCAAATGAGGGCACGGGGAAATGGGTAGGTGTGTTACAGTTCGAAGTTACACTATTCGTTTGACTGCCCCCTGATCTCTTGTTTGAGAAAACTGAGTACTGGGAAGTCGCCGAAGGTGGTGTAACTGGTGGAGCAATAATCAGTTGTGAAGAGTCAAAACCCAATGTGGATTGTCCGAAAAATGGGTATGGTGATTTCGGAGTACGTAAATGACCAGCGCCACTCCCCCTAACACTAAAATAATCATCTGACTCGTATGATTTGTAGGAAGAGTAAGGATTGACACAATATCCTTCTTCTTCGTCGTCCTCGGAATCTGACTCAGAATCTGAATCCAATGTGGGATCACTCAATTGGGGAAATTGTAATAATATTTCAATAGTTTGAATGAATCGAGAATCAAGAGGTGGTGTCGTTGATGATGATGAAGATGATGATGTTGATGAGGCAGCTGAGTCGCAAGCGGCAATGATTCTATCCCTGTTTTCATAAATTGATTGAATCAAAAACGAGTTCTTTTCATTAAACTTTTTCACCACATGAATCACCCCAACCTCCTCATATTTTTTCGTCAAAACCTCTGTCACTTTGTTCAATTGAAGGATCAACAAAAGAGCAACTTGCTTAATCGTTAACAACGTTGATTCATCCAACCCATTAAGGAAAGCACCGTGAATTTCGGGTAACTTGTTTTCAATCTCTTCGTGGTCCTCGTCATAATCAAAAGTGGTATTATTGGTATCATTGAAAGCTGGCTCAACTTCGTCGTCATCGTCCAATGCGTCGTGGTCGATAACGGCATCTGCATCAGCATCAATGTCGGTGTCGATATCTTCTTGGTCACTTTCTGCGTAATCTAAATCAATGTCATCAGCAATGCTGGTATGCCTGTAGATATTGGTTTGGTGGCTGTAGTTACTGTCATTGTTGTTTGAGTAGAGTGTATTTAATTTTTGTTTCAATGGGAACTTGGGAGCAGGACCGACATTTTGAAATTTAGATTTGGTGTGTTGTTGTTGCTGTTGGAATTGCAGTTGCTTGCGCAATTGACGCTCTTGCTTCCTTTTCAATCTCTTTTGCAATTTGATTTGAAGATACTGTCTTCTCTTTGGCTCAATCAACACATTTTCCAACAACTCCTTAAACGCAATCGATGCGTTTGGAATTTGCAACATGGAACAGGCTAGCAAATTGGCAGTAAATGCAACTAAACTTGTAGGAACCAGTAAGAAAAACTTGTCATACAAGGCCAACTCGCACAAAAATCTTCCCACGGCAGTAACAGCACTCAAGGTAGTAGCAGCGGCTGACTTTGTAATTTGTTCATTCACGCCGCTGGTTACATTAGCTGTGTCCGGTGTGGTTTGGAAACTGTACTTTGATGGAGTAATTGTAGGATTCACTATGTTTGAATGCCTAATACTCAATTGCAAGCAATCTTCCAATGTTGGGTGACCAATGGACCATTCTAAAGTGCTCAAGATGTGCATCTCCATTTGAACAAACATTTCTTCGTCATAGGCGTTACGGCACATGATTGATAATTCTTTTAAAGTTGGAACACGGGACTTCTTATCTTCATACTTACCAGCAATCCATAATGCAGTACATCCAACCAATTGGTAATGGCGTTTGAAAACAATTCTCTTGGCACAATAACGATCAATGATGTTCAAGCAGAGAAATAACGTTTGTGGTTGTAATCTAAAGGACGAATGCAATTCAATCAAGAAATCCAACAAAAAGGGGCGCATAAACCATTGAATTTCTGGTTGTAAATCAATCATTGCTGGGTTGACTGAAGATGCTGCTTCCAATTGTGACAAAGTTTGAACAACCTCTGTGCAGTATTCATTAGTCAATTTCTTGTTGGCTTGAGATTCTAGCAACTCAAGCATGGCATGGTATGGACGTGGCCTGATGTGTTGAGGCGGGCCATATTTTGGTCTATGTTGTTCACCTTGGTGGTATTGTGAGTGTTGTTGGAAGTGTTGTTGTGAGTGTTGTTGTCCATTATGGTGTTGTTCATTGGACATTATGCAATTGGGGAATCAATTATAAATCAATGCAAGAAACAAGTGGTGATACCAACTGAGAACAAATGAATAAAATGCAAGTATTTGAAAGCGAAGGATGTGAGTGAATTATAAATTCGATGTAAAAGTTTGTGGTAAACGAATGTAGTAGTGGGTAATCTAATTTTTAACTGACGTATATATCATGAATAGTGGGAAGGAATGAAGATAAGCAGAGCGGTGTTGTGGATGATGATAATGCCGAAATGAAAGAACAAATAAGTGTCTATCCTGTTGGTGAATAAAGCTAATAGAAAAGCGATTTTGAAATGGAGAATACTTCGGATAATATATAAATGGAATGGATTGAAAGTGAAATGAAGTACACAGTATGAGTTCCTCTCCTTTGAGTTGTTACTCAATAACGAAAAAGCGAGTATTAAAATTTGTGAATATTCCAACACCGAAAACTTTGACAATCAAAGTAGAATTTTCTACGTTTGTTTCTTTGTCCTTTTGTAATTTTTATTTTTTTTATTTATCAACTCGTGTATATCACTTGAATAAAGATGAAGAAGAAACAAAAAAAAAAAAAAAAAAAAAAAAAAAAAAAAAAAAAAAAAAAAAAAAAAA